AGCACAACATAGATGTAATTCCTCAGAGGAACCACTTCACCAGCTATCTCAGAAAGATAATAGATTATGACATTCAGCTCTTCTCATGCGTTTGGGTATTTGGTTTTTTTTCTTTCACCAATTAAAGAAGTATAAACAGAGAAAAATTGTATTTTCCTGTGCTCTTGATTTGAAAGGGACCTTCAGAGATCTGGTCCAACTCTTTGTATCAAGACAGAATCATCTGTGAAAACAGACATTTTTTTGAAAATCTTTTGCAACAGCTGCACAAAAGAAACAGAAAACTCAACTGATTTGTAAGCTAATGACAGGGCAGTTTTATCTGTCTTCACATTCGTGTTCCCAGTTCTTACCAGGAAGATAATTCCATCATTACCGAATTTTTAAACTTGTGATTTTCTGCATTGGTGTAATATTTGGAATAAGCGAAGTTTCTGTTGTGACTTTTAGCCCTTCCTTTTTTTCACTTCACACAGAATAAGAACTGAAGTCTAACTAAAGTAAGCTTGAGTTCATTTAGTATACACTTTTACCCCGAAGCCAGTAGAATAAAATTTGTACCTCTCTGAGTGATTAGGTGGAAGAAGGGATTATTTTTCAGTCATCCTGGTAGACTTAATAATAAATAGTTCCATATACAAACCATTTATTGTCTAGATACAAAATCAAGCTAAGTTGAATTAGCTTGGAGATGTTGGTAGTGACCACAGCATCTATCCTGACAATAATGTTGATACAGGTTGCAAGGGATGTCTTCATCAATTTCAGGAGTTTGGCCCTGTGCCCCAGCACTTCCTAAAAGAGATGCTGAACATTTTCTGACTTACCAATAATACTATTTCCCCAGCTATTTTGAAAGTTTAAAAAAAATTCTAAAAGAGGTTTCCTTTGGTTTCTAGCTCATAGAAGGTGATCAAAGTGTCTGGAAATTTCCTGATGGTGATTTTGTAAACTGTTCATATCAGTTTTTCTTAAAATTTACAATTAGTTTCTCTGAAATTTTAGTTTTCCAAAATTTTACAGAAGAAAGACTATTTAAAAGTTGGTGAAGTTTAGAAGAAGGTGAGAAGACTGAGTTCTGTGATATCCATCAACAGTCCCAAGTACTCTGTACAATTAATCCATCCTTAGTGTGCATATACTCTGTAGTATAAACAGGTAATGAATGTGCATATCTTCAAAGCAATTTTGCTTATTTCATTAGTGCATAAATAATTTGGAAAATGAGTGAGTCTCATGAAATGTTCTAAAAGAATTTAATTGCTTTTAGGCTGTGGAAACTGATTCTAAATTGAAGTGCACCTTAGAAAATGTTCAACTGCATCCCTTTCCAAGGGCACCGGTACATCTGCTGATTAAATCTTCAGGACATGTACTACTGGGAAAGTCAGATTCTCTTCCAGCAGGCATATCCCAGCAAATACTGCCATTTATGGCTGGGTTCCTAGAGCCACAGGCACCTGGTTTGGCACGTGCCCAGTTTGCCCCCTGCTGTATCAGCAAGAAGTGGTTGTGCTGAAGGCAAGAACTGACGCGTGTTGGTTCATATCACAGCTCAGTTCTTTCAGGGATTGAATGTTCTGCATCACTCTGCTGTGCTGCAGCCTGCTTACATATGTGTTGGTAGTGTTCACACATCTTTTTGCAATATCAGTACCCACTGGCACTTCAGCTATGCTAAAAAGTGCTGATTAAATGGGGTTGCTTAAAAAGGAGAAGTGTGGAATATTCTCTTCACAGGACAGGAAAGACTATTCCTTGCTTAGTACAGAGAGAGAGACAAAGAGTTATTTAGGGAGAACACCATCGAGGAGGAGGTTTTTTTACAGAAATGAGCCATATGCTTCCAACTCCTCCAACCATTCAACAGTAAGATATTTTGACAGCAGAGTAGCTGCTTCTGCAAGTCTCCTAATTATGGATCAAAAATGCCACTGACACCTGATGCATAACACGCTACTGATATAAGCTCATGCAGCAGTTCAGAACAGTGGAAAATTTTCTGACAGATTAACCTTCATACCAATAGGTTCTATGCCAGATTCATTCTCAGATGTGTTCTAGGCTCCTTTTGAACCTACAGGCAATGTAAAAAAAAAAAAAAAAGGAAAAAAAAACAACAAACCATCCAAACCAAAACAGAAAACTGGCCAATACTTTGTATCATCTACTCTAGCAGATTTGACAGCTATGCTATCATTTGTATCTACCTGATTCTGACAAAATTGATGTTTTTAATAACCTCAAGGAACCAGAGCTGAGCACTGGCAGTGATGCTCAGACCCACGTTCTGAATGGTAATGTTAATTCACCAGCTTTATCCACTGATGTGAGGTTTCTTTGACTTGAGGTATCTGCTGGTTGAGTTGTCCTGTGGTTGCAAAAAGTGCTTATGTACCCAAGCACACATTTTTTCCCCCTGTCATTCTTCTTCTACCTACCTGCTGGGGTAACTTATGTCATTACCACTGCAAGGGAAATCAACACTGTAAATCTGGTATTGGTCTACTGAAAATTCACTTTGTGCTTCATTGTGTGTACCGCTTAAACCTCATTATCAGATAGAAAAGTGCAAATACCTAATAATTCTTCCTACACATATTCACATAAAAGGCCATCTTTATAAGAACTACCACCTTTACTCGAGCATTACCAGACCTTCTGTAGCAGGAGGAGTTTTATTTTGAAATTATGTCTCCTCTAGAGAGCTATTAGAACAGGATTATAAAAAATCATTGCCAAAATTTAAACCAGTATTGTTTCCCATATTTACATGACAGATCATGGACTGAAAATTGGTAGAGACCAGAATTATTGTGGGGAATTTTTGTTGTAATTGTGGTGAATGGATGAGGGGTAGTGTGTGTGTAACTTGTCCACCGTTGAAGCAACGACTCCGTTGTTGCTGTAGTGATGGTGTTATTTGGATATAGATGTGGGCCATTCTTCTGTTTATGTAACTGATGTTTGTGAAGATTGTAGATTGTGTGATGAATGTGTATTTTAATGCTAATGATCAAACATCTTTCTCTGCATGATTGTAACTAAAAGTCAGATCTCCTCAAATATTCAGACTCCTCATTCTTAGTGATTTCAGCTGTATAAAGATAACTGAATACTTTAAAAAATACAGCCCATAGACATATTTCGAGAGGGTTGAAATACATTGTTGTAAAGGTTAGATTACTGCACTTTTCAGTAATCTGTTTTACTGTAGTTTTTGTTTAATCTGTTTTGTGTTATTTGATGGGCTGACTCCAATGGGATGAAGTTCAACAAGGCCAAGTGCTGAGTCCTGCACTTTGGCCACAACAACCCCCTGTAGCGCTACAGGCTGGGCACAGAGTGGCTGGAGAGCAGCCAGGCAGAAAGGGACCTGGGGGTGCTGATCGACAGGAGGCTGAACATGAGCCAGCAGTGTGCCCAGGTGGCCAAGAAGGCCAATGGCATCCTGGCCTGCATCAAGAACAGTGTGGCCAGCAGGAGCAGGGAAGTGATCCTTCCCCTGTACTCTGCGTTGGTGAGGCCACACCTTGAGTATTGTGTTCAGCTCTGGGCTCCTCAGTTCAGGAAGGACATTGAGGTGCTGGAGCGGGTCCAGAGAAGAGCAACGAGGCTGGTGAAGGGACTTGAGCACAAGTCCTATGAGGAGAGGCTGAAGGAGCTGGGGTTGTTTAGTCTGGAGAAGAGAAGGCTTAGAGGTGACCTCATCACTCTCTTCAACTATCTGAAGGGAGGTTATAGCCAGGTGGGGGNGGGCCAATGGCATCCTGGCCTGCATCAAGAACAGTGTGGCCAGCAGGAGCAGGGAAGTGATCCTTCCCCTGTACTCTGCGTTGGTGAGGCCACACCTTGAGTATTGTGTTCAGCTCTGGGCTCCTCAGTTCAGGAAGGACATTGAGGTGCTGGAGCGGGTCCAGAGAAGAGCAACGAGGCTGGTGAAGGGACTTGAGCACAAGTCCTATGAGGAGAGGCTGAAGGAGCTGGGGTTGTTTAGTCTGGAGAAGAGAAGGCTTAGAGGTGACCTCATCACTCTCTTCAACTATCTGAAGGGAGGTTATAGCCAGGTGGGGGTTGGTCTCTTCTCCCAGGCAACCAACAATAGGACAAGGGGACATGGGCTCAAGCTCTGCCAGGGGAGGTTTAGGTTAGATGTTAGGAAGAAATTCTTTACAGGGAGGGTAATCAGGCATTGGAACGGCCTATCCAGAGAGGTGGTGGATTCACCATCCCTGGAGGTTTTTAAGCAGAGATTGGATGTGGCCCTTAGTGCCATGCTATAGTAATTGGAGTTGGATCAGGGGTTGGACTTGATGATCTTGGAGGTCTTTTCCAACCCAATCTATTCTATGATTCTATGATGATTCTACTCTTTATATTGTTTCTATATTTCTCTTTCCTGAGTTAGCCGCTGCACTAGGTGTCTCTCCTTCTCTCTTCTAATCATTATTTTTGAAAAGGTTAATAGAATTTCCTTTTGTTTCACAGTGTGCAAACCAGTGCAGCTTAAGGGCTGTACAGTTACTACTGCATGTACTTAGTTACTACTTAGTTACAGAGGTGCTGAGTATACCTGTCATCCGTTCAGCTGCTAAGGGAATGAATTATAATTGTGGTAGTTGGGAGATGATCTATTCCCTATCAGCAGGAGGGGAATTTAAAGCAGTCAGAGTTATCAGAGGTTCTCTTCAAATCTTCATTCTGAAGTGGAATCTCTGGTAGTGCAAGAATGCCAAAACTGGCAAAAAAGAAAAAATGGTATAAATTCAACCTGAAGTTTTAGCTTGCACATAGGGCTAAAGTTTGGGCTAGGGGGAGACTTACACAAAAGTTTAAGAAAGAAATACAGAATATTCTGTTACTGGTACTGTTCTCTCCAAAGGCTGAGAAAAATCTGAAACAAACCTCTGCTTAGGAATGCAAAGCTGGATTTTAACTTCAAAACTTTGATCGTGCATCAGCCTTGTAAATGCCATATATGCTGTTTTTCCTCTCTGCAGGTATCTAAGCCAGACTGTACTGGAAGAGACGATATCAACAGCCAACCCACAAAACAGGGAGAAATTAATTCTACTAAAACAAGCTCTAGGTGCTCTGGGATTTAATAGTCTGGTAGGTTTCGTGAGTTTATGTTATTTGTGGCTAAAATCATCATATCAGTTAAAAACAGACCATAAGGAACTCTCCCTGATAACCTTTTGAGTGAAAAGAAGTGGGTTTTTTTATCCTTTTTTTTTTCAATTCTGTTGTTTAAGAGCTTAAAGCAATATATAGTACTAGCTCACTCCAGAGAAATTACTGTAATCACTTTTAATTAGACACAGAACCAACAATGTAAATCTTTTTAATTCTTAAAGATACACTAAACAGCTTCAATGTGTAATACTCTGAACAATTAGATTACATAGATAAAAAGAAACAGTCAAATCCCATGTGACAGAAATCTCATAAAAACCACAGACATTTTTTTCCTCCTCTTGATTATTTCCCTGTCCTTTTTAATTTTGTGAAACACACGTATGCTAGCAGCACCTGAAAAGAAATAAATACATGTTTAGTCAAAGAAAATTAGAGCTGGATAACTTGAAAGAGCTGACTTAACTCCTCTAAGCAACAAGAAGATAGGCCTGATGTTTGTCTTTTATCCTATAAAACTAATGAAGATAATTTGGAAAATTATTCAAGAAGAGATTCTGGAGGACAGAGGTGTGATGGAAATTAGAGGAAATGGAGGGATGAATATGAGAACTCATAGAATCTGTGTAAATAAGCAACGTAAAAAAGTGTAAACCATCTTTAAATCTCCTCTGTATTCAGGCAGCGTTAGAATAATTATTTAGGAGTCTAGAAATCTGTGGAACTCTGGAGTACTGCACAATGATCTCCTGTGTTGAAGATAGAGCAGAATATGTAAAACACATTCCTAAAATTTCTACCCATTACTTCTGAGGTACATGGAAAGGTCTGTATGTATTATTCCTTGACTATCTAGCCACATTTAATGATAAATTATCTTTTTCAAGAATTACATAAAGATTCCTAAGAAGCAGGGTATAGCGCTCTAGTTTGAATGCCATATTAACATGAAAGTTCTTCTATTTTAGGACTTATTCAGACTTCACCTGTATATATTGGGTCTTTTTCAATCTACATCTTTGGTATCGTGGGATAGAAAAATATACTGTTGCCCTATTAATATTCTATCTCATACTGTAAGAGATTGAAATTCTTGTCTAAAAATGTATGAATAAAACTTGCTTAAACAGAGTTAGAGGTGCTATAGTCTATCCCAGAAAGACTGAAAGTTTTTTTAATGGCCTTTGATAATGAGTTATTAGGGAAAGGAAAAAGAAGAAGAAAACTTGAGAAAAAAAGAGGATGTAGTGGTCAAATATTTCATTAGTAGTGTATTTTTTAATCTTATTCTGCAAATTGTGGCGAGAGTTCTCACCATCACTTCTTTAGTTTCAGTAGAATCAGGTTCCAAATGCTATTTTTCAAAAATTATCAATTAAATTTGCGGTGCATTATGGCATATAATGTTATAATGGATATCAGGTTTCTCATTTTACAACTCTAAAGAAGCACTTTAAAACAAACCTCAGAAAAACCTTAAAAAAACTTACAAAAATACACAATGCTTTCTCTGTCTTAGCATTTAAGGTTCATATTTAATGGATCATATTTTTTCTTGGATTTAAAAATATTTTAAAAATAAACAACCAGACCAAAACAACACAAGAAAGTTAGTTTTCTTCTTGCTGTGATAAATATGAGGCCAGGTGAAATCTGCCCTTAAAGATAACTGTTTCGTAATATTAGAGACATCAGAAATGAGCGTGTAGTCATGGAGGGAAAGTGTGAGGGCAAGAGACATTGCTTTTGTTTCTTTAAGACCTTAATTACAGCTTTTACTATCAAGAAACTTTTATAATTTGGACTAGACACTTCATTTGTGAATGCAGTTGGCTGAGGAAAATCAAACCTTGCTATTCCCAGATACAGCAATTGTCTCTTTGGAAATTCTCTATGGACGAGATATGTTTATTTCTTGCATAAATAATGCATCCTTTAAAGATACTTAAGTATTTTTATCACATTCTGAAAGACTTTCTTAACCTAGCAGTTAATATGATTTACATTAAAACAAAAGGAATAAAAGGTAATTTCATTGGTGTATGTCCTAAATAGATTCCATTTTGATTTCTAAATCCAAATTTCCTGTTAACAATTTACACACAAATACTTTTTATGTATGTGTATTCACACACAAATGCCAGTGATACAAACTAGTAGAATTTGTGTTTTTATGAAGCGTTACCTTTCACTGATGTGCCCAACAGATCTCTTCTTTATCTTTAATTCTGCATAAAATATGTGCAGGAGGTGGAGAACCTGTTTGTAATTCTCTCGGCAATTCTGCATCTTGGAGATATTCGCTTTACAGCTCTGACAGACGCTGAGACAGCATTTGTGTCTGACCTGCAGCTACTGGAACAAGGTCAGTAGGACGTGACCTCGGAGCATCGCCTGCTTGGTCCCACAGCAGGGAAGTTGCGCTGTTCCACCGACAGATGGAAACATAATTCCAGGGAGACAAAAAAAATTACTTCTGAAAATTCATAAGTTACTGTGGCGATATGATAGTATCCGATTGACTTGGATGTTTCATAAACTACAGATTTTTATAGGATGAAATACGATGCCAGTGTTGCAAATTATCTAATTAAATGTCATTTTTAATGCTATCATTTGCCAAAAGAAATTGGACAGTGCACTTTGTGCCATCTTCTTTTAAAGTGCTTTTGCACTGCTTGTCAACAGCTGAACAATTTGCTTTGAATTGAATTCCTTTCATTCAAAATCCGTGTCTTAAAAGGGTCTCTTGTTTCCATGCTTTGAAGTTTGCCCTCTTGATCACTTACAAATCTCCTCCAAGTGGCTTATGGATACAGAATGTCAATAAGTAGCATACCTTAACTCTAGTGGGAGAGAAAGTCTGCCAAACCCTGGGGAGTGTCCCGAGTAATCTTTAAAGGGGAAAGAAATCTGTAATGTAATATAGAGATGTGTTCAAACTTCACGAAGTACTGATTATAGTAATCCAATGTTATGTGTTCATTAATTTTGATTACTTCTATGTCAGCACTCCTTTCTTGAATGTGTGGATTCTTTCACTATTCAAAATTGTATCTACAGTAGAAAATCTGTTATAAGGAATGAAATATGCAGTGAAGCCCAAATCTGTCTTTCTTTGCATTTTCTTTTCGTTTCAGTGGCAGGAATGCTACAGGTTTCATCAGATGAGCTTGCTTCAGCCTTAACAACCGATGTTCAGTATTTTAAAGGTAATTTTCTCCAAGCTTTAATTCTCATAGATTGGCCCTGATGGCATTTGGATCCATCTGATTTGAGAATTTTAAAAGCTGATGATTTTTGTTTCTTATTTCTTGTATGAATTATAAATATTCTCTCTGAGAAATATGTAGGGTTATCTGCCATGCAGTAAATCAGACTGGGCCATCAAATTAGAAATATCTTGTAATATACAGCAAATAAGTTTCACGTTGTGATGGTGGCAGACTCCTAACTTGATTGATCCTACAGAAGTGTGTCAAGGTAGCAGATTAGATATTAACAGAGAATATTAGTGAGAACTAAATTCAACAGGAGTGTCTTGGAAAAATAATTCTGAAAAAATATATTTAGTAAAATTCTAGTTCTCTGTGGTACTCATACACATTTCTTTTGAAGAAAGTATAAAGGCACGTATTTCCAAACTGAAAGTCTTCTGAGTGTTGACAGTCTTCTCATCTTGCACCGGAGGCTTCAGAAAAAAACTAACACTGTGTAAATGTTTGGCAAAGGAGAAGTAACTGTAGCTAAATTTACTGTAACTAAAATTACTTAAGGCGAACTTCACAACATGCTTTCATCACCATTTTCTGCTTTCTCTTGTAGGAGACATGATTGTACGGAGGCACACTATAGAGATTGCAGGTTTTTACCGGGATCTCTTGGCAAAATCTCTGTATGGTCGTTTATTTAGCTTTTTAGTCAACACAATCAACTGCTATCTTCAAAATCAAGATGACACTGACAGGTAGGAGTACCATTACAGATTATTAGTTGTGCCATTTTCTGTTCAAATCCATAATTCCATTAAATGGAGGAATTTAATGCATAGTGATAGAATTGTAAAGCATTTTATGAGAGTATTACCATGAATCTTGTATCTTTAAGGCACTAGCCATTCCTTCAAGTTGTTTCTTCTGTAAAGTATCCATTTATTTATTTGCATGTATAGGGGGACATAGTACTTTATGCAGTAATCTAGACTGCTGGTTGAAATTAGTAGCCTTTTAAGAGTTGACAGTATACAGAATGAGCTGAGTCTTTCCACATGCAAAACACTACCTAGTGGTTTTTTACTGCAAAAAATATACTTGATCTTTCTTCCCCAAACAGTGGCCTTAGCACAGGGTATTAAAAACAGAATTTTATTCAAAGGCCTTCAAAAAAATATTTAAACATCACTGAATTAAATGTTCTAAGAATGTTCTCTAGGTTATCATCTGCTAAGTTCAATGCTTTTGCTATCCAGTGTGGTTTCTTGGAAAAATGAGTGCTAATTAATGTGCATCAGTGGAGCAGTCAAGAAACAAATCAAAGAAACAAGAAAAAAAAGGAAATCTCAGTAGAATCACAGTAACAAACTAAGACAGTAAACCTAATTAGATGATGATATGCATATGACTTAATCAAGGTTCAGCGTCTCACATGCTCATCTGAGCTGTCTTATGAACGAAAAATACAAGTGTCTTGGCATAGTGTTAAGTGGTAAATACCCAAATGACAGATGCAGAACTTTGAAAAAAGAATAAGTATGTTTTTCTTATATCTGCATTGGCTTAGTAGGACCACTATTTATGAGGTTCTCTCTTTTAGAGTTTGAGGACTTCATAATCTTATTTTTATTCCTATTTGTAGACCAACTAGTGATAAATCACATTTCTCTTTTATGGATGTGGCTAACAGAAAAAGCTACCATGCTTGAGTAACTCAGAGCTTTCTGCATCTAAAAATGCTCTGTCATTATGTATCTCACCAGGGTACCTACCTTCCTGCTGGAGGCAAAGGAAAGATTTGCCAGTAACATAGAATGATTTTAGTTGTCTGTTTCTGACACCAAGCCAGCGCAACTTTCCAATCCATGTCCTAACTTGAAATAGTCTGTTTGTAATAAGCAGGGACAGTAGCATGTGGTCACAATTCTTCCATGTTCATCCCTGGAACTTATGGAACATGGGCTTAGCTCACTGAATGTCTGTCACAGGCAACGATCCATCTCAGGCATTTCTAACTACAGTGAGCTTTTTTTTTAGTGGTTGTTGAGGAAGAAATTTAGAATCAGTATATTAAAAATCTACTAAAATTTTTCAATGTGTAATTTTGCGATTTTTCCATTTGATATTTCACAGTCTTTCAGAATAGAGTGTTGTAATATAAACCTAAAATTGTTTTTGTTAATACAAAACCATAATTTCTAGATATCATAGGATCTTCAAATAATGAAAGTCAAAGTTGTTTGTATATTCTTTACCTTGTAGTCTCCTTTCAGTGCAGTCAGTAGGTAGAAGAGGTGACTATTTCTACCTCTTAGGTAACCTGAAGACAATGTGATGCTTTAAGTCCTAGCTATAACAGAACAGCTGTTTGATGTTGTCAGGAATGAGGAATTTGCAAGTCTTCTCTGGCCACATAATATACCTATGCTTGAAAAGGGAGAGTTCTTCATTTAGGCTGGTTATAGGAAGCTAACCAGCTCAGGATTAATTGATAGTACTGACAAGGCATATTAAGTTTTAGCAGGCCAAAATGAGACTCAGATCCCTTTCCAAACTTGAAGCTAACTATCTTAAGTGAAAATTAGGTCATTCTTCACTGATATTTCAACCTCAGTTGAGTTACCCTTTTTTTTTTTTTTGTCCAATCAAATCATATTGTTTAACCCAGAGTAGTAAATCAAGGCATAGCACAGTTCTAGATGCAAGTTGGATTACTGAATGAATCTGTGGCTTGTGAATCAGATTTACTTTGTATACATCTGAGCAACTCCATAAGTTAGCAGTATTATACCTCCAGTTTGGTGAAGTTTTAATAAACCTCTGTGTAGAGATTCACCCAAGACATCAACTTATGTGACTAAATAAGTCTGATACCTTTCAGGCTATGCTTCATTCCCTATTTGGAAACTCACAGAGTTACTTCTTATCAGATAGGATGAAGCCTTGTTCAGAAACCTGGAATAAGGTTTCTAACTCAGTTCTTGTTTTGTTTTGAGGCAGCTTAAATGTACTTCCACCCCACTTCAGTGAGAATTTATGAAGCAATAAAATTAGATTTTTTGGCTTAGTAACTCTAAGAGAAACATTCCTCAGCATTTTTGAGGGAACTAGTTATCCATGTTTAACTCTTATGGTAGAAATATTTGATTTTGTTCTTTAATATTGATGTAGATTTACTATGAAGTAGCTTGTGATGGGTTTCAGACAAAATAAAAGTGATGATTATAATTAGATCTAAGGGAAGGGGAGATGATTTGTGAAAAGTTGCAAAGACCAAGCTATAAAGGTATGAAATTTAGGATAGAAGTGTTACCAGAACCCAGCAAATTTGTTACTGTACAATACTATTCAATAGGCGTAAAGCAAGAATTTTGGTGATGTTGTTAAGTGAGATAATACATCTTTAAAAGTGTTCTCTTCCATAAAGACATACTTATAATTTTGTCTAGTTTTTACTAAATTGTAACCTTAGATGCTAGTTTAGACTGGTTGCAAGGTCTATTACTTGTTGCAAGGTTTGTTACTTTATTCATCTTGATATTACTTTTAAAAAAATGACTGTGGAGAAACTATTTTGCTGTAATTGGCCCCTGGAATGGAATTAGAAGAAAGCTATTAAAATTTCTCACAGGTGCTTATATTTTTTAAAAATTATTTATTTATCTTCACTTGTCTATATAAAGATTCACTTTTCTACTGATTTTATTGTTACCAAAATAACCTGGGTGAGTTTCTTCCTAAGACTCCTAACTCTTCAAACTTTACTTCCATTTCAAATAAATATGCTGATTTTCACTTTTATAGATAAAAGACTAGCATTGATGGTTGCCTAAATGTGGCATTTCAAGGTAATTGATTGCACATTGGCAAAGTTGGATCTAGTAATCCAAATAAGTAATGAAATATCTTAAGAATATATTAAGAATTCCTGGCTCATTCTGCAAGAGGGCTTTTCATATATGGAGGTTTAAGAATGTCTGTGAACTCTTGTGAAATATTGTTTTTCTTTTCTGTTGGAAAGTGAGCTAATTAGGTATATATGCTTGAGAAAATCTTCATATTATGTTTCATGTCTGCTAGTAAGTAGAAGGCACGTTGTTTTATCAACTAGTTAGCAAAGAGTTTCTCTCTTTGTAGGTAAAAGCTGAGAAAAATTTGATATATATTTTTTAGGTAAAAAGTAGCTGAACAGCATGTCCCAGAGGGCAAAGGGCCTAGTTGGAGGCCTGTTACTAGCAGTGTCCTCCAGGGTCCAATACTGCATCCAGCATTGTTTAACCTATTCATCAGTGACTTGGATGGAGGGGCAGATGCCTCCTCAGCAGGTCGCTGATGACACAAAGCTGGGAGGAGTGGCCAATACCCCAGAGGGATGTGCAGCCTTTCAGAGGGACCTCTACAAGTCTAGAGAGATGAGCAGAGAAGAATTGTCTGAAATCCAACAAGTGCAAGTGCAGGGTCCTGCATCTGGGGAAGAATAACCTCCCCATACAGGCTTGGGGCTGACCTGCTGGAAAGCAGCTCTGCATAGAAGGACCTGGGTGTCCTGGTGGACAGCAAGTTGTCCATGAGGCAGCAGTGTTCCCTTGTGGCTGAGAAGGCCAATGGTATCTTGGGATGCATTAGAAAGAGAATTGCCAGCAGATTGAGGGAGATGATCCTGCTCTCTCTTCAGCCCTGGTGAGGCCAATCTGGAGTGCTGTGTTCAGTTCTGGGTTCCTCAGGACAAGAGAGAGATGGAGCTCCTGCAGAGCACTCCAGCAGTGGGCAACAAAGATGATTAAGGGACTGGAGCATCTCTTAGGAGGAAAGGCTGAGGGAGCTGGGCCTGTTCAGTCTGAAGAAGAGACAACTGAGAGGGGACTTGATCAATGTCTATAAGTATCTGAAGGGAGGATATCAAGAGGATGGAGCCAGGCTCTTCTCAGTGGTGTCAAGTGCCAGGAGAAGAGGCAACAAGCAGAAACTGATGCACAGAAAATTGCATCTGAACATGAGAAACAACTTCTTTACTGGACAGGTGACTGAGCACTGGAACAGATTGCCTGGAGAGGTTGTGGAATCTCCCTCACTGGAGATATTCAAGAACTGTCTGAACACAATCCTGTGCAATGTGCTCTAGGATAACTCTTCTTGAGCAGAGAGGTTGAACCAGATGACTCACTGTGGTCCCTTCTAACGTAACCCATTCTGTGATTCATATATAGCCTGAAGATGGGGCCAGTGCCATGTGCCTGCTTTGTTACAGACAAGAAAAGAAAACTGGCATTTAGTTATGCTCTCTGTCTGTATCACCAGGTCAGCCATAGATTTCTGTTGCAGATAGAGCATATAGAGTATTTCCAAATAGGTATTTTCTGAAAGCTTGTATATTCTAACTCTATACTCTTACAGGCAACAAAATTCCAATATTGCCAAAGAGTAGCAGTGGGAACACTTATTTGGGCAGAGGAAAGATCTCAGAGGTCTCGTTTACTTCATCCTTAGTACATTATCTGATACATTATATGATTATAGAATAAGATATTCTGGAATAGAAATCTTCCCAGCATGAGAAAAAAAAAAGGAGCATAAACTAAACCATTTATTCATCTATTACTGAATCCAGCAGAAGAGTGCTGGGAGTGCAGGAAGGAGGGAAAACAACTTCATTCTCAGAACATGAACTCACAGCATAATGAATATTTTTTCTTTATGTAGAGGTTGAGAAGTCTTTAAAACAGACAAGCAATACAAAGCATAGAATATAATTTGGTGCATAATATATTTTGAACTCTGTTTTAATTTGGATAATTTCTAGTATTTCATTAAACAAAATAATCTCATTTTTTAAAGCGTAGAACAATTTTTACTTGAAAGACCTGGGAATAGTATGTGCTACTGAAGAGAAAGCTATGGATCTTGAGACTATTAGCAAGCGTACTTCTTCCTTCCTGCCATACCTGTCAAGTCACTCAAAGAAATGTTTGTCAGATATGGAGCCAGTGTTTTTCTGATATGTCCAACCACTGTCTTTGTATGTACCACTCCCACCTGGGTAAGGTAGTATCAAAAGAAAAATTACAGTTGTTGAGCAAGATACCTGAGACATTGCAATAACACCAAAAGTCTCAGAATGTTGACAGAGCTCTCTCAAAAGTTACAGAAATTAGTTTTGTTTAGTAATTGTTCATGATGAAGAACATTTCCAACTGGGAGTATTCAACTTGTTCCCTTCAAGAACTGTGTTTAAGACAACGGGTGTAATCTGTCCCTGTGGGAAAACTAAGGGCTTCTTAATTAGGATTCCAAGGGTCTAATTTGAAGGTTAGATTATACACTTCATCTAATCTTAGGAATATTTCCTCATGAATCAGTATCACTTCTAGTTTATCCAGATCAGACATAAGCCTATTGACTTGCTTCCTCATTACTGGGAGAAGTTGGAGGAAGAGCAAGAAACATTATATTTTTTGTCAGATGAAAACATTAGATCACCCTCCCACAAGAGATTCACCTCACTGCTTTATGCAGGCAGATTGCAAAAAATAACAATGAGAATGAACCCCATGGATTTCAGAACTAAAAATTGTCTGTGATGAAAAAAAAAAAAGTGATCAAAGAACATTCTGTAGGTTTGTTTGAAGCAATGGGTCAGACGTATTGTAAAGGGCATTCTCTTCACCTTACCAGGAAAGGTGGCATCCCTTGATAAGTGGCAAGAAGTCTACCAAGGCAGTAGATCGTTAGACAGGATGTCTTCTGTATGTTCTGTATTGTTTTTAGGAGCTGCCAAGAATTTCTTAATTAATAATACAATTGTTAATTGTACAAGATCAAAAAGATATTCCTAGTTTATAAGGACATCTTTACAGAGATATTGTTCTGAGGAAAAACAGGAGGCATTGTACAATATTATCAGTTGAAATGCTGTTTTGGAAATAAGAAAACCAAAATGAGCTATAGAGAACATCCATGCTTGTTTTTAACTATTCAAACATATGTACTGGTCTAAGAGATAAAAAAGTTGGCAAAAATGTTCAAATGTTGGCAAAATAATTTTTTTCTAATTTCAATGCTAGGAAATATTGTCAAACTTCAAATCAAAGTCTTAGTCCCTACTAAAACTGTAGTTCTTTTATTTAAACATAGTAAATACTGAATATCTGAAACATAATGAGGAAATGTGTCAGTGATTATTAGTTACCGTAAAATAATAAAATTAAAGGAGGGAATCTTTCAGAACAAAAAAGTGCTTTTTTTTCTGATATTTGTTCTTTTAGAAATGACCTTTGATTTGTAAACATGGGATCATTCATGTTTTATTTTGCCTTGGGAATCTCTGCTATGATTAATTTAAGGAATGTAACTTTGCTAGAATTAATATGATTGACAACCAGCCAATAAAAACAGATAGGGACCCTCCTTCTGAGAAGAAAAGTAGTATAAATAAAAAAGAAAAACGAGACGAAAAATTAAAAACCCCCAAGTAATTTGCAACTACATGTGAAACAATGCTTTTAATTTTGATGTTGTGCTGTCATTTGTTATTTAGTTTTCAAAATTTGAGCAACAATTTAATACAGAAAATTATTATCATGGTTGGATAGATTTGCACATAAATACCACAATGTAATAGTAAAATGTCACTATTGTAGAGGATATAGAGCCTTGTTCTGTTATACTTGCCCCGTAGGCAAGATATTAATTATGTAAAACCTCTAGCTCTTTTCATGTTGTGTGTGCATCTCCTAAGAATTATCAAGTGGCTTTTATAAAAGCACTGGCATGGCATGACTTCTTGTTAACAAATGCATCTCCAGCAAGTCAAGATATTTCTTGCAAATATCACAGTTTTCACAAGGAATGTTATTTGAGGTAGGCAGTAGGCTGACTGCTAAGAATTTTACACAGCATTTTAGAAACCAAGACCAGGTTCATGTTTAGCCTGACTTGTAATAATTCATCAAGTCACTTTATATTGGTCTTTTCCTTATGCAAATGTTTATATATTCCTTGAGGGAAAGAAAAAGAGACTAATTTGACAAAATAACAGTCATGGACTCAACTGCTATGTAAGCAACCCAACTGAAAATCTATTAAATGAATTGGACAGATAAGGGATAAGCAGTTCTGTCTGGTTTAAGTAGTTCTTTAAAACTGCGAAATATAATGCAATATTTCAGCTGGTGTACAGTGATACATAGGAGTTCATATTTTGCCTTCCTATAAGGAAGGCTATATGTAAGTGGGAGAAAAAGACCCACAAACTTATCAAAAATTACACAAAAATTTCAAACTACTCTTTTTTTTTTTTTTTTTTTTTTCTGAAACCTGTTTAAATAGCATAATAATTCTGGATTTTCAATATTAGTTTGTCTGAGGTAGGGTTTTTTTAAAAACATCTAATTCTTTGTAAAAAGGAACAGGTTTTAAAACACATTGCGACAAGGAACATACACCTTATTCTAATCAGGAGCAGTTGTGAATGAGGCTTACATTTTAAAACACAAATTAGAGTCATTGCTAGAGATGGAGGTGGTGATGTAGCTTTATGCTTTTTGTAGAAATTCCCTTGGAGGCTAATCGACCTCCCAATAACCTCTCCTGCCCAACAAAGTCATTCTAGACCGTATTTATTATGTAGCAATCTATGTCTGACATTTACGCACATAGCGAGTCTTGTGACAATCAGTAGTGCGTTGAATTAGTGTGCCTTAGAAATGAAGACAGACTTCTTGGGTATGATTTCTGGAAAAGGCTCTGCTTGTCCCTGAGGATTGTTTTTCCCAGCTTGTTTTGTAATGCGCTTTTCTTTTAACAATTTTACATTTTTGGTTTGTTATATGGGAATTTATTTTGAGGGCTGGATTGTTACCTAATGAAATGTTAGTAGTTACAATGACTGCAATAGAACTATACTGAAGTACTTCAACAGTGGTTCATCTTTTTCTCCTTTATGTCTATATCCTGACATACACATAGATTCAGACATAGAGGAAACATAGAATATAGAGAAAAAATGTAGATGGAAAAGTAGATTTCAGAACCAGCAGCCTACTACATTATTTGCATGCATATAAGTAAGTTTACAAATTATGTTGACAAAGAGAAAGGAAAACTTACCTGCTTTAGATAGTGTCCCTATCCTTTCTCAGGAAACTGAGTGATTTTTCTTTTGCTGATTTTCCCTGTTCCAGAAAACCATCAGATATACTACAAAGTCCTTCATCCTGCTGCATATCATTTCACTCTGGAGAAAGTCCCATGCATTCACATAGGCAAATTGCAACAAATTTTTGACTGCAACACACTTTTTATGTTCTCTCTCTGATAATGCTGGTAAGAAAATTAAAAAAAAAAAAAATCTAGCCTCAGTGAACCAAGATCTTTCATATGGAGTTCTCAAATCCTTGCAAAATAGGCAACAGAATATCCCAAAACATTCATTTTGCTCACTGTAGTGAACTTAGTTTCCTCTCCAGATCAGGTTTACAGTGACTCAGTCCCAAGTAAGTACAGAATATTAACACCTTGGTCCCTTTCCCATTTCTCCTGTCCAAATCCTAGGTGACTGCTCTGCCCTAATCCTTCCACTTGGCCAAAATAAAAGCCCTTCCCTGAATGCATGCAGTGACACATGACAAATTAGATACACTGTCAACAAGTACTCTTTTATATATACAGAGAAGAAAACTTCTTCAAACCTTAACCCTGGCTGTTCTTTCCCAGGAGACATGTAACTTCTTCTGCAGCCCAAGCTCTCAGCTTCTGCTTGATGCTGGCATAAGAGAGGGCTTGGTCTGGGGCTTGGGCTTAACAGGTTTCCTTTGAAGTACACCTAGATTCTGGCTGCCAACGAAATATAAACTGGAAAGGGTAACTGAGTGAAACCAAGAATTTTGGAGATTTTTCCTAAATGGCTATCTCTTATATGAGCAAAGGGGTACCCATACTTTTAGAAACTGGACTTAAAAGAAGCTAAGATTTTCTCCTTCTCTCACAAATTTAGTTTTTACATGACTACTAAAACAATGTTGAACCCTGCTTTTTTATTTCTGTTCAATACAGTAGGTTGGTGAGTAGAATTTTAGTTCTGTTCTGTACATGGTCTGCTTGTGTATTTCATCCCATGTTTTTGAAATACAACCTGCTTGTGTCCCAGAACAAACATACTTTTGTCAGAAACAGTGGCTGTATTATTTGCTTGCTTGAATTCTTATTATTGGTAATATCTTTTCTTCCCAGTGACCAGGTATTTGAAATTGGAGTGTTAGATATTTTTGGATTTGAAGAATTTCAAAAGAATACTTTTGAACAGGTAAGTGTTGATTTTTTGCTGAATGTTTAACTAAATGGGGTTTGGATCAGAATATAAATATAGATGAAGGTGAAAATTTTCTCATAAATATTGTTTTTCCCATTCAGCCTATATGTGTGTGAATTATATCCAGGTCATCAACAGCTGTTGATGATTTTTAAATAATCCAGTAAATATGTACCATAATGATTTTGAACAATCTGAGGGAAATAGTGTTGTCTGTTTTCATGCCTGTGGAAGTTATATTTCGGTTAGATCAGTAAGTAGCAGGACAATACGCTGAATTGGAAGAAAGATCAAAAGGTCTTCAGATGCCTTGCCGAAAAAATAGAATGAAAATGCTACATTATGCTAAGTGCCATTACTGGCAGATTCACATATGTGTGACTTTACAACATGTGAGTTTTAAAAGAATTGAATTTCATCCATGTCAAATAAGTGGAAATATGCTTAAAAATTCATTTAAATATCAAGCGTGCTTTAAGCTGTTTGCCTACTTTCAACATTAGTCTCTGAACACCAAAGCTCTCGTGAATTACATATTTCAGAAAACATTAGTGACTCCACACAACACACTGAAAGAGGTGTCTTTTATTGTTCAGTTATTCATTTTGTAATGTAGCAGAAGAAAATCAAAGCATAGAATAGAAAATCAAAGCATAGAAAAGAATAGACTGGCATAAGGAGCAACAAAGGACTTGTTATTGTTTAAAATCAGAATTTACCCCTTCATCCTAGTCAATCCATTGTTTTATGCCTCAACTTCCTCTTTCTAATGACATAGAAGTCACAAAGCCACATCATTCAGCCTGTATAGCATATTTGCATTGCTATCCAATTTCCAAGTGTTTAAAATCACAAGCATGATGGGTTTGCCTGTACCTTCAAAAGAGCGTGTAAGGAGGCCATAAAATATACTGCAGTTCCCCTCTCACAGTGTTCTTTTTGCTGTTACAGTTCTACCTTGCTTGAACTTTTGCTGGATTAAGGACTATTGATGTGTGCCAGTATTCACAGTCATTTACTGAGTGTGAATTCCTGCTGTGGGGGAAAATACAGAGTGAAAAATAAAAACATTTTAACAGACAATATCTGGAAAAAAAATCCATAAAGCCTTCTGCTTAATAAGGATGAAGTATTCTGTGCAATTTGAATGCTTTTCAAAAGAGAGGGGTGCATCTTGGGACTTACTGGTTATTTTCCTTTGACTCTGTTCTGCATTGTGTTTTTGTCATGAAACTCTTATAAGATTTGCAATTACATCATGAAATACTTTGAATTCCAGCTTCTGGGGTAAGTAATTTTCTGCTTAATGACTGCAGAGGATACTTGCAGAAAAAAAAAAAAAAAGATATAAAGAAAAATGAGTAGAAAGTAATTTATGATTTCTGCATAGCAAAAACGATAATTTTAAAGTCAACTTTGCGTTTTTATTTTATTTTTTCTAAATAAATATATTTCAAGAGGCACTTACTGTCCCTCCACCTGTACTGAGGGCATTTTGTTGAATAATATTGAGTAATAATCTGCTTATTATCTCAGAATCTACTTAACTGTATTCCTGGAAAGACAAAATAGAGGTGAGGGAATTAGAGAGTTCATTCTTATATGAACTCTGAAATGCAATTAACATACCTGATTCCTGAAGTGATAGGTTGCAGTATCAATGAAGAGAACCGGTTTGTATCGCCACATGGTGCAATGTAATCATGCAGACATACCCCAAACAGCCTGAACTTCAAAGTTGGAACTGTCTAGCAGTCTAGCCTTGCTCAGTATTCTGCCTAGGCTTGTTAACCCTAACAATAAACAGTCTTACTAGCCCAGATAGGGTCCTCATGCAAAACATTGCATCATGTCTGCAAACATGCCCAGTGTCAAGGCTTGTGATTGCAGAATGTTAACATTAGATGTTACAGCCAGACACTGGTGGAGCCATAAAAATTATTTTGCAATCATATTTAGATTAGCATATTTTAAAATGGCATTATGAAAGTAATTTTGGAGAAAATGAAACTTTTGTTTCAAATTAGCCTATGATAAGGCATTCTTTGTGATATCTGTTTTCCTGTTTTCTAGGAAACAAAATTAAACTGTTTTCAAGAAAAATTAAAACTTCCTGATTGCCCAAAACTGGGGATATTACAAGTAACTGTGTGAATCTTTCTGATGCTTCATATCAGATTAATTGATAGTCTAATATCATAATTAAGAGAGCACTAAGGTACTAAATTACATGTGGGTTTAAGCAAATCATTTCAATAAACTTTTTTTTAAAAAAAGCTTTTTTTTTAAAAGGTAATTTTAAGACAGAACAGTGATACTGTTTTCAGGTAGACATCAAGAGATAAACCAGGTAGAATTACTTATTTACTCCAAGATGTATAATTCTAAAATAACAGTAAATAAGTGTGTGGAATAAGCAATAGTGAGTAGAGTTTTGATTATTGGTGTGAAATTTAAAAGCTGAAAGATAAGAAGCAGTATTTTTAGAAGCCACTGTCTGAAAGAGTCATTGCTCAATAAAGACTGAAAACTTCTGAATTACCAGGACTCAATAAGGTACTGTTTGTCAGCTGAGCTGTGGTAAATTACTACAGTACACTTTTATCTCACCCAATTACAATTTACATCACTTCCTAGCACTGATCATTAGCTTGGGAACAGCGTTTTCCTAGAGCAGCTGCATACCTGCTGTGGCAGAACAGCTTTGTATACAGCAACACTGGAACATGGTCAGAAGTGAGCACAGATTTCTCTTTCCTGTTCTATACAGAAATGGCCTTCATTTTTTGGTAATTTCAGGAAATATGAGTGCTCTACCAAAAATAGCCATGGCAGGTTTCAGTGTTAATTTTCAATGTTTTCCTAGGTTTCCCTGTTTGAGAGGGACTATATTTGTTTACGGTTTAATCTGCACCCCTTTAAAAGTAGTAATATCTACTTCTCTTTTAGAGAAGAATTTAAAACTAGGTTAGATCTTATTTATGGTTACTTCACAGCATAACTCCAAATAATACAGTCAAGGAATGCTACAACCTTCGTTATACCCTTAGGCTAGTGTATTTTTTGACCACAAACTTAACGAACTCACGACCGGTGAACGTAACAAGCAATAAACAGGAGGGATAGTTGCCTGTACCATTTTCCCCCAATTTTTTTTCTAAGAAAACTGTATTATAGGAGAGGAAACAGATTATAGACAGCAAGAGTAGCTTTTCTGTCCCCTGCACAAAGTCAAGTCTTTTTAACGAAATGGAGGTCTGTAGTAGTGGAACCACAGAATCACAGAATATGCTGAGTTGGAAGGGACCCACAAGGATCATCAAGTCCAACTTCTGACCCTGCACAGGACCATCCCCAAGAGTCACACCTTGTGCCTGAGAGTATGATCCATACTCTTCTTGAACTCTGTCAAGCTTGGTGCTGTGACCACTTCCTTGGGAAGCCTGTTCCAGTGCCCAAACACCCTCTCTCTGGATAAAGAAACTTTTTCTAATCATAAAGACCAATAATGCAGTAAAATGGACTATAGTAGTCTTCTCTCTCTGATGTCTAATTCAAGTGGTAAACTGAAAAAAATACTTAGTTCTTGCTAAACAACATGTTCAACTCTTGGATGGCATTTTTTGCCTTTATAGGCCTCTTAAGTTTTGCAGAAGAAAGTATGCATATATTATCCTTTTTATAGGAAATATAAGTGATTTATCTGGATTAGTACTGTAGGTCACTTGAACAGTCAAGTGTCTCTTGACTCTCATTCAACTCTACACCCATTAAAGTATGTGCACATTATCTGTGTGCTGCAGTAGAGCTCTGGGAGAGGCACAGCTTCCATGGCAGCTCCATCCAGCATATCTCTCGTGACAGGAGCCAGCTGGATCTGAGAGCAGAGAGGATTGCCTGCCCCACTCAGGACTTTTCTTCAGAGGCACTATGGTGAAGCAGAAGAGATTGTAGAACCCAACTGTGTTGAAATTTTTGCCTATTTCTATTATTAGGTGTGGTAGATTTTAACTTCTCAGCGTGGTATTTCTAAAGTTAACTCTGCTGACACTACATTTTGTCATGTAACCTTTCCTAGTCAAAACATCCATAACAGATTATTTTATATTAAATTCCACTGTCTCAGTCATTAGACGGCAAATGTAAGGTCATGTTGCCTGTTTTGAAGATGGATGGATATGCATAGACAAAAGTTACATGATTTAACTTCTCTATAGTCATTGCAGTCTCAGTGATAGCAGATGGGATCTCATGCATTTAGGTTTTTGCATTTGAACAGTCTGAAAGAGCATTTCAGTATTTTGTTTTATGCAGAAGAAATGAAACTTCTTTGGTTTTGCCTGTGCAGAGCATAAATAGATGGTCCTACATGGCTCTGTGAAATAGGAAGCTGCTGGTGCACACAGAGCTCTGATACTATGTAGGGACTTAATGCAGTTCCACTGTGTTCCCAGTGCTGGAGTATTCCTTATTCCCCATAGGATGATGGACAGTGCTTAGTATGTTAATTCAGCATTTAGCAAGGAAAAATAATGATGTATTTCTAAGTCAGAGTTGCTAGTCTCCATGCTAAGGTGTCACCTTAGACTGGTCCCTGAGCAGGGCTTGGGGGGGTCCCAGGAAAAGATGAGGAGGGCTATAAAAGCCTATTCCTGCCCTCAGGGCCCTGGCAATCCTGTATTTTAAATTGTTTCTAGACCCAGTTCCTGAGGATCTTACACTATGCATGGCTTTTGTCATGCACGGTGTGCTCTTCCCTTAAAGTCTCTTTGGTCTTCTTTCTAGTGTACACATTTCTTTCCATTTGTACAGGACTATTCTCTGTCCAGTGGTCCAGTCAGCCACTGGAAAAACAGTGTTACCCACCAATGTGTATTTTTTTTTCTTTATTCTTTTAAAGTAGATGTTTTGTGGCCAAAAATAAAATAATTTACCTCAAACTGCAATTCTCAGCTCAATTCAGTTTGTGATTGATTGGTGAAATGCTTCACAAGGACATTTATTATCTGATATCTTACTTCTCCATAGTGGCACCCTTTTTTATCCTACAGTACTTAGTTGATGGTCAGCATTATGAGTGAAATAATAATTCTGAAACTATTTCAGAATTAATTAGTTTCAGAACAATTCCAAACTCTTTCAAGAAAATACTGTTGTTACTTGATGTTTGTTTCCTTGTTTGTTTAATACTTTTATATGTGCAAAATCAAGTGGGGGCCTATTCCACTTTGTACTGAATAGTGCCCCTCTTTCGAGGGGCTTTTCAGACCTTCCTTTGTGGAAGGCTTCTCAAATGACAGCCTGTAATAAAGTTTTATTATAGCATTTTTATGTCATTTGAGGAACACAGATCAGCTAAAGGCAACTGACCCCAGAGATTACATGGATACCCAGTGAAATAAACATCTTCTGACACAGGTAGAAGGACTATGTTTGAATTTTTGTTGGAGCTGCATGGAGAACAAGAAATCTGTGTTAGATGCTATTAGCCCTAAAAAGCAGTGGAAGAAATATTATGGGTTCTAGTTTTGTTATAAAGTCTTTAGAAATATTCTGATTGGTACTACACATAAAAAAAAAAGGACATTGAAATATTTGGTTAGCAGATATAAAGGGGAACAGCAATGAAGATACTTCTGAAAAATCAGTGAGTATCAACATTAGGTGAGTCAAACCTCAAGAAGATGATTCTGCTTTTCGTTGTCTTAGAAATTGCATTTTTGAGAAATGCTAGAGCACTCCACCAGATTAAATTTTTTGTTGTAGTGTCATTATCTCTGGACATAACATAAGGCCCAATAGATGTATTGATACGACAACTGTAAGCCTTGTTCTGTGCTCTGAATGCACATCCCTTGGGAGGGCTAATCTTTCTGCATGACCGAAGGATGTAAATGAGCTTTCCAGAAGGTCTTTACATCCATCCATCCCTCACTCATTGACAGTCACAAAGTTTTCTTTTCACAAATTCCATTTTTGGTTACACCTATTCAAATAGGCATAAGAGCAGGAAAATGAACAGAGTGGAGAGCAGAAAAATTTCATTAGTCATAGGTGCTTTTCTGTCTTTAGAGCACAGTGCAATTTTTGTATTCTACCTAAATTTTTATTTAGCTTATTCTTTATAGTGCAAATTGGTCAAGTTCAGTAAAAGAGAGACTGAGCTAATACTGTTTAATGTAATGAATATTTACTGCTTTTACGGAATGCCACTATAATTTCTTCCAAAATCTACAATTTGGGTGATGATTCTGCAAGTTGTTCTTTCTCTATACTTGAACAAGAATAATTTTTCTTCTATTAATATTCTAAAAGGACTTTTTAAAGAAGACTTGGACAAATATATATTGTATTTGTTTTCACTGAGACATGATAATGAGTTAAGATTAGAAAGAAAGGGAAGGTAGAAGGAGCCATACAGAAGAGACATAAAATGGAGCCCATGAGATGCATGTCAAGAACAATTTAACAATGTTTAATGATAAAAAGTATCATAGGTAATGTTAAGTACTGCTGCAAGGTAAAACAAATACACAGTTCTTAAAGGTATTCCCCAAATACTTGTTTTATAGATAAATATTTCTCTGAGTTTTTTTACTTATTACTGCTATATATTCATCCAGTTTTCATGGGTGCAATTAAATGCATGTTTTAAAAAATGCAGGTCTCTGAACTTTTCAAATCTTTAGACAGAAAATACATCATTGTTTTATGTAATACTAATTAGACATGAAGCAAAAGAAATTGGGTCACAAAGCTACTTTAGTTCATTTTTATCCCATTCCTACATTTCAGCTGTTTTAACTATTATGTCAACCAGTGTCAAACGTTTAATTTGAAATACTCATTTTATTTCTTTTTCCCAGCAGGTTGTATAAAACACTGAAATGGAGAAAGATAGGATCAGAATGTCTTGTCAGAATGTCTTGCTTTCCAGCAGTCTCTGGCTGGCATCCTGGTTCTCATTCTGCAGAGCTGTTATTCTCAGCTACTGCTAGAGAGAGCAGCTTGCAGTTTGTATAAGTGCTTGAACTTGCTTTCTGGGGGGGTTCGCGGTACCTTACTGTCATCATTGCAAGTCTGCCAATCTGAACGACAGTGTTGCTTGTGTTGCTAAGAAGCACACCAGTGTATGCCATAATAAACTGATCAGTAGCATTAAAAAATGTGGGGGCTCTTTTATCATCTAAGCATGCTATGTATGAATACTTTAAAGAACTACTTTTTTTTTTTTTTTGGTACTTAAAACCAGTGCTATTTATTAGATCTTTTTAAGACATGTCGAAGAAAGTCTTTCCCTTGGTAGTTCAATAATTTTCCTGCACAACCAGGTTCTCAAGTACTTTATTTTTTATTTATGTATTTTAAGAGATTGGCTCAAGATTAAAAGTAAGCTTGAGTTTATAGGGATTTTGACAACTTTTCTTATAGTAAAATATACCTGTGTAAAGTTGAACGACCTGGTTCTCTATATAACTCATCTACAAATAAAAGTGTACACAGTACGCATCACTTCAAGGCTTTACCATATCCTGCAAACTGTAAGCTTGTCTGCCTTATAAAATAATGTTAAGAAGCTTTTGGGAAGATTTTGTAGTTAAAATTAGAATTCCAAAAGTGACCAGTAAAGAACCTTTTGCCTGCCACAGGTTTAAAAAAGTTGTCTTTTCTATTAAAGTAGTACATAGTGTAAGTCTATTGTATACTTCCATTTTCAGTAAATGAGATAATAATCTGAACCTTTATAAATCTCACTTCAAAAGAAATAATGGCTTTATTCGAGGCTATCTTTTTTCTGCACTATTATGTATTGGTAAAAATAGTTAATAATAGATATTTGGTTGTAAAATGGAGTTTTGTCTTATTTCTTCTTACTGTTATTCACACTAGTCTATTTCATTGTATAGCAAGTGCAAGTTGACTATACTTACATGATGTGTTAATAGAAAATTCAGGCAACTATTACACATTACTTGAGTTCTCTTTCCTAATCTGAATGTTAAGCCAGGTAATTTTACGATTGATATAAATACTTCATACTTTTTAGTATGACTTGTTGGTGAAATTGCTTTTACACATTTTATTCTTGAAAGATATAGTTTATGGCCAACACAAATACGTGACTAGTTTAGTCTGAAAAGAGACTGTGTGCAAGCATTCCTTGCGTCATTCCTCATACGAAGTGTTCTTTCACCCTTTTAGGAGCTTCTGTTTTCTTAATTTCTTGGTCATAGCTGTTATGGCACTGGAGAAGATTTTACAATTTTCCACTAAAATTTCCACTCCAATGTCAATAAAACAGTTAAAACATTTATTCCACAAGGTTATTAAATATTTACCTAATTTTGCAGGTGAGCTTTGAATAAAATACAAAAAGAGCCAAAGTAAGCTGATACAACTCCCACCTGTTTTTAACTGAAAATCAGATTTCTGTGCATCTATTTAGTTTACAAAACTGGCACTATACCTCCTATAAGGCAATAAAAAAAAAAAAATTGAGCAGCTTATACATTATTTATCTCTCCAACTTTGAACTTACAACTGAACACCATTTTCTTGCCAACCTTCCCTTAGAACATCTCTAAAATGGAGAGCAGCACTAGTAAAATGTCCCTAGGTGTTTTATAACATGTATTTGGGTAAAACAGAATGAGTTCTCCAGAGACTGCTTTAGACTTCAGTGGCATTATATCTGGAAATAGACTTTGAATGTCTTTGTTAGCATTGAAGTAACTGCAGAGTAAGGATCTTAAACAAATATGTAGTTATTTTTTTCTAAAAGCATGTTACGTATGCAGAGGCTTCCTGAATACAAAGTGCAGAAGAATATTTAATGTACCAATTTGTAAGTAAAGTTACCCCATTTTGATCAGTGGAGTTAGTAATTTTGTAATGCTGGTATTTGATAATTCTTATGTGAAATTCACAATGAACTGTGCAGGCAGAAAACTGTATTCCCAATTTAATAGTAATAGCTGTTAAAATGTAAATTTCCCGAGAGTCTTGCTAAATCTATGATCTACCAAGAGATAACATATTGTGGATTGACATTTCATCAAATTCAATATTAAATGGGCAGTAAAACCTACATCGATGAATTATCCAGTAAACTTCTAATACACTTGTTTTTCTTCATTTTACAATAGCTGTGTGTCAACATGACCAATGAGAAGATACACCAGTACATCAATGAAGTGCTTTTCTTACAAGAGCAAGCAGAATGTGTACAAGAGGGAGTTGCCATGGAAACAGTATATTCTCCTGGTAACCATACTGCAGCCCTGGATTTTTTCTTTCAGGTACTTTCCAGATCCATTTTACACCATGTATATTTTTACATGGTCTCTTCATGTTAGACTAATACAACCTTGCTTGCATTTTCCAATTTATGAATCTTTAGATAAGGTTATGGGCCCAGAGAGACCATAGCTCAGGGGCTAACAGAGCTTGCTAACAGTCCAGGGATGAAGAAGATGCAACAGAAACTCCTTGTCTGTACCAATTAATGTGTGGCATCTGTGTATCATGGCATGCTGATAATGCAGCTGTAGGACTGAAAAGTCTCTGTTGTAAGCCTGACAGTTTCTTTAGTAACCGAAGCTAGTTTCTTGAGTACAATTTCTAAGAAGGAAGTAACTTAATCAGTTTCCTGGAAGATCATCAATAGTGACCATTTTTGGCAACTGAAATATTGTTCCTTACATCTGTTGTAGAATTATCCTCTGTGCATAGCCTTGAACACTTTCCAAAATATTTTAATCTTTTTATTTTTCCTTTTTTTTGAGGTGATATGTGTTTCTGTTTACTAAATAACGCACTGTGTTACTGTGCAAGGAACAAGTGAAATTCTATTGCTCCTGTATAAAATGAGAAAAATCTATTTTTCATTTCAGAAACCGTCAGGCTTTTTGTCAGTGCTGGATGAAGAAAGCCAATCTGTTTGGTCAGTGGAACAGAGTCTTTCTAAACGCATTCAGTCTTACCTGGATACTTCAGACACAAATACAGTGTATTCTTCCACAAAAGATGGAAATGGTAACCTTGCCCCAAAGGATCTGGGCTCCACCTTCACTGTTATGCATTATGCTGGGAGGGTAAGTTGTTTGAATGATCATTTACATGCAGTTAATGAAAAAATTAAAACAAAACAAAACAAATTACATGGCTTCTCCAACTCCTGGCTATAAATAACAATTCACTGTCAAGTGATAAATTTTCAGAGGACAATTTAGAATCTCAATGCAATATCTGGTGTATAAAATCTGTAGCTTACATCATAGCATGCAGGATTCAGGCTGCCTAGTTCTGGCTCCTAAACTGTATCTTCACTGTGAGCATTTCATGTAGAAGCAGGTGAATCAGATCCCTTAACATAAATGTTTATTGCCATTTTAGTTGGCTGTCACTTTGTCTTCAGATGTTCCAGAACAGTACAAGTTCCGTAAAGATCCTCTGCTATATATGTAGATACCTGGGATACTAACATACATCTGGTAAAAAAAAAAAAATCAAAAACAACCTCCCTACGTTTTTGTTAGTAGTCATAATAATTTTTTTTAAAACATACTAAGTGTCTTTCAATATTGTTGTAAAATAAGATGAATATTTTGCATTTCCCCTTCTGCAGTGTTCACGGAAAAAGTGTAATGATTTTAATTCTTTTACATAGGCCTTTTATCCTTTTCTCTCCAATACTTCATTTTCACATGTCTCCACCACCACCCACAACTCAAAGCAAGCAAATTAGGGATGTGTTAAAAAGGATAATAATTGTTTTAGATAATCTGAGAGATTTGTCCTTCTGTGATTAATCTGACATCCTGCCACTTCTCTCTATTCAAAAAATGATATTTGAAGTTAGCTAAGGAATGTAAGGGCACAATGGAACAGGGTCACTGAGTTACCACTATTCCAAAATTTCCATTGAAATCATGTGAGAACATAGACCGAAGACTGCAGAAATAAGTCTTGACATATTATGAGTTTTCACATCTGAACAACTTGTTCTATGTACTTTCACACTTTCTAAGTCTTATGCAGATGATTCTATGAGATATCCATCCACTGATGAAATCCCTTTGAATCTTTGTGAATAGCATATAGCATATTTGTGCTTCAGAACAACCCAATCATGATCGTATACACTGTGTTGTTTATAAATGTAACTGCAAGTGTTACTAGTTGATGACTTTACACAGTAGGTCACTTTAAACTTGAGATCTCAGTAAAGTCTTGTATCAGGCAGAAAGAATCTAGCTTTTTCAGGATTTAGTGGCAGCACTTGATAATTACCCTCCATTAAAGATGCATGGGAACTGCAGGTGCTTCAGTACAACCAGACAACTGACACCTGGATGGTCCTCTCTTTACCTAAGCAACAGGAAGAAAGAATGGGTTCGATGAGGAAGAAATTGGGCAGCTATGATAAAGTCTTTTGATTAGAATGCATATTACAATTCTCAAATAAAAATGGTATCGTTTCTGCTGTTTATTGTGACAGATAATCTTTCCCTCACATGATTTTTAAAATTAGTTTAGATTCTAAAGTGAGTTCTTAGTGGTTGCTAGGGTAAGAACACCAGAAAAATAACTAATCTGTACTGCTAAAGGTACTGGATGACATGCTTTTTGCTATGATGACTATTTGAAGTAGATTTATACTGTTGAACACCCAGTCAGTCGACTGTTGGTAGTGGGTATTCGTATGGCGTGTTCAAGACTTGCCTGCAAGTCACCAAAACCAGACCTGCTGGCTCTGTCATATCTCAGGATAACACTGTATGTTCTGAGCTCTCCAGAACAGATGAGAGGTTGGAATATGCATGCTTAGGCTTCCTAAACTGGATTAGGATTATTTACAGCAGTATAGATGAGGACAGGTCTATTTTTTGGCTCTTCATTTGGAAATGAAGCTGATAGAAGTCTTGTGTTCTGACGCAAGCAAATTTGTTCCTTCCCAATGATAGAAATGTGGTAATAATGGAAAGGATTAAGACTATTTGGGCAGTGCTTAAATTCCTTACCTAAATACTCTGAATAACTCCCTGGAGGTTATTCTTTCATCACAAGGCCTTCTACTTAGACTCAAATTATTTGCCAAAGTGGTTTGAATATCTCCACTACTGGGACTTTTCAGTAGGAGTGTGGGCCCACAGTGGTTAAATAACAGTACAACCAAGAATTTGCCATGAACTCCTGATGTCTAATTTAATTTATAAACTTTTATACTTGTTACATAGGTAATTTTTAATGCAGTTTGTTTATACAAATTTTTAGCTCAAAAAGGTTCCATAACCCAAAACCTGACATGGAAGCAGCAGCAAGGCAGCTGCATTAAAATCACAACCAGTCTAATTAGGACATTTCTTCAAAATGAAAGAAGTGTTTGTTTTATTGTATGAAGAAGCACTTGCAAGATTTGTTAAGACCAACATTTCAGGTGCCTAGTTCTGAAAGTTAAACTGTGAGTGGTAAAGAGGACACTTTTCATTAACGTTGTGTTTTAGCCTTGCATGGTTGTTTAGATTTTGTGTTATAACATAGACACTCGTTTTGACCTTTTCCTAATAATAGTAATGACATTTAATCTAAAAGCATGAACAAATAGACAACTCTCCAAGTAATGTAAATTCACACATTCTTTCAAAGTCAATGGAGATCCTTTGATTTACATTGGCCAAGGAACTATTCCAGAGGTTGTTCTTTGCATCCTTACAACAGTAAAATGCTTGGCCCTGGCACAACAGAAAAGTTCTCTTGCAAGTGTTTAACTCTTCCTACTTTAATAGTTAGTGATTGAGCAAAATCCTTAAAGATGCTTGCATTTTTGGTATCTTGTGGAACTGTTATCTTGCTATTATAGATTGAAATACATATATGATATGTATTTACATAAACTCCAATGATAGTATGACACAAATTATTCTGATCCTAATATGTCTTCATAACTTAATAACTTAAACATGAAAAACTAGGATTTAAAACTGCTGATGCTGTTCTTTAGATTGTGCTATTACTACATTTAGTACCTTTTTATAGAAGTAATTTGTGATTTATTCTTTATGAAAACTGTTAAAGCATCAGGCTTTTAAATATATCAGGGTTTATTGGCACTCAAAAATAAGAATTTCATGTATAAAGAAATGGTATAGTTTGGCAGGTTTTGAGAGCCATTTTTATAGTCTGATATCAAATAAGTGAGTCTAAAGTAAGTGAAGTGTAGAGCAATCTTGTTCTGCATTGTTGCTTTCAGAGATGTCAAAATTTTAAACAAGGGGGCTTAATTTTATTCCCGGTTACCACAGTTTTTCACTGATTGTAACTCCTTTAACTTGGTAAAGCTGCTCATTATTTACATGAGTATAACTGAAAGATGACTCAGACCCAAAGGGTAGAGAAAGATCTAACAGTAAAATGTGACAGGTAATTGCACATAAAATTTTCACTTTTAGGATTAATCATTTGCATTCAGGTGATGTGTCTAGGCTGGCAGTTGTGGAGGAAGTCACACTGAATGCAGGCTCTGTGTTAGAAGGTAAAGGCAGACATCCTGATTTCCCTAGGTAACAAAAGTTGTAACCACAGTGTAGTTCACAGTAAGTCTGAAAGAGCTGCTACTCCAAGTCATTTAGAGAAAAAAAAAAAAAAAAAAAGCTAATATTCTATCTTGGCCCTGGTATGAACCTCTTATGACCCTTGTAATTTGGGCTCCTTTCCATCCGTACTTTATGTCCAGAATCAATTGGGTTCACTTCTTTACTCAGACACAGTAGCATTTTAGAAATTTAGAAGTGCAGTTACACTGGAAAATGCAGTTATTAACTCACTGAAAAAACCTGCTTTTGTATATTTAACTGGAATTGACAGACCACATCTTGTGAACAAAACCGACATCTCTAGCTTGATATTATGAGAGAATTACAGCTGATACAGATGTATCCATGCAGTTGTAAACACCTCTAATATATGCATACCTTAATTTTTTTTTTGTCAGGATACTCACAGAAAAAATATCTTTTCTTCCACTGTGAAGTCTTTTTGATTGATTGTAGTCATGAATTTTCAGGTATTGCGCACTCCCTTAAGTTCTATGCTCAGAAGCTTTTCCTGAGACTAAACATGCCATAATATTGATCGAAGCATAATGAGCCTTAGACCATTCCAGAAAAAGCAGTACTGAGAGAAAAAGGAGAAGAGATAATAGATCAGAAGTAAAAAAAAACCCAACCAACCAAACAAACAAAAAAAACACCACCAAAAAAAAACCCCTGTGATAAAATACGTGTGCAAGATATCGTTCTGAGAGACTCTGAATTTTTTTCTTTTTGTCTTGGCTGTTTTGGAATGAAAAAAGAGGAAAACACAAAACACAAGTAAACTGCTGCACATGGAAGAAATCAGCACAGGGGTGAGATTTTATAGTGGAACCTGAGAGTGAATACTGTATTACACAAATGTGACAGAATGATCCAGTGGAAGAAAGAAAATTAATTTTTCCTCATTTCTCTTGAATTTTGCTATTATGCCTGCACAGCATTATATCTGTCTTTCTTCATGGGCAATATGATACATTGCTCGTGAACACACATGAACACATGCTTAGCAAAGACCACTGTGAGCATTAATACTTTATCTTACCAAGTATTTTACTTTATCTCCCAGTTTTAATTTTACAGCTGAACAGAATTCTACAATGCCTTGACATATTATGAATCTTTTCTAAGAGCTATTTAATGTCTTGGTATCTGAGTGCTGTAAGACAAAAAGCTTATCTATTCTGTTCAGACAGAAGGTAGAGAAGAATGATTTAGGGCTTTTATGACTTAAAAAAAAAAATCCTAATGGAAGGCTTTATCTGAAGGTTGTTTAACACATTCCCTGAACACTGGCAGCTTGATCTCTTCTGGAAAAAAACTGCTCATCTGGGGCATTACTTTGTTTCTGACGCCTAACATGAATGTGGGTGTCCTCAGGTGCTTCTCACACAAACCGTCTGCCTGGCAAGCACCATGAGAAAAGAGGCAGGCTGGTTCCACACTACACCTTGCAAGCTTGCCTTGAGGGAGCAAAGTGTTTTATTGGTGCACCTGACCATCAGTTGAAGCTATACTAAGAATCTGTAATACTGACTTTCTAGGATCTTTTATTGACAACATTAATATTTACATTGCAGGCTCTCATGTAATGAAGGGCATCTCATGAATTATATCTTTGAACTGTTGGATGTACCAGTAGTCGTGATTTTTGAAGAATAGAATTTTCTCAAGGACACGAAGTTTTTTATTTTTTAAAACTTTATGGAACAATTAACATATCAATAAGTAAATCTGGAATATATTGTCTTAACACAATGCCTAGAGACATAGCTTTACCTAATAGTGGTATTTAATATATTGGTATTAGAGATAATTAACTATTTTCCCAGTTGTTCATGTAATCTTAATAATACATTGTCATAATTTAAGCTTTCTACAGTTTAAATTAAACTTGAATTTACAAATTAGATAAGCCCCTTTTCGCTATTTGCCTTGCCACTGTTTTGACTTATAGTACTATAATAAACCAATCAGACCTAAAGACCAACTTCTTTGCTCTATAAACAAGTGCACATAATGTCCTTTAAGTGCAGATCAGTGTCTGTTCCATTTCTCACGTGCATTTCAAAAATACCTCTCAGCTGTCAGCTCACCTTCACTAAGGCAGTCTTCTTTGAAATGCCTTATATATCCCAGGCAGACTCTGAAACTGAACCTCTAAATCAAAAGACAAAAGGAGTTGCATTAATCAGTAAAGGGGCTTTCATTTACTCTTTTTTTTTTTAACCCGGGCTGAATCCTCAGATGTAACAATCAAGTCAATCTAGTCTAATCTATAGTATCAAGGCTTGTAAAGGTTACTTGACTGATTCTGGTTTTCACACAGTCAAGATAGTTGTGTTTTTTCTCCCTTTCTCTCTCTCTCCCTTTAAGTAGGCTTGATTTGGGACTTTCACTTATAGGAAAAATAATAAAACACTTCCCTCTACCCTCCTATTTTGTTTATAGATATTTGCTTGTTTCAAAATGCTATTCTGTCACTCACACTTAAGTACTGACAGAAAATTAGCAACTACAAGTGACCTTTTGTGCAATGAAACTGTCCTTGAATATATTCTCACAAAATTTCCTTTTACTGCATGAACTGATGATTTTCTTATTAACTAAAATTTACAACACATTCAAAGCTGTGACTTTCTGAGTTATATTATGCTCTGTTAAAATAGTAAAATTTTCCCTTTTAACTGTGAATGCAGACAAATCATTTTTAATATTCCAGGTGGCATTTTCCTAGTTTGTTTTAGGGTTCCTTCTGAATTTGCCATTAGCCATGAGTGCTTTTGACCTATAACAAGATATGAAAACTATTTACAAAAAAACGAGTATTTTAAGGAATTGATGAAAAACATGTGTAAAGGTGGTTTCTGTTGATAAAGTATATTGGGAAATCCAATAAGCTTTGAGAAAATTCCTTACATAAGTCAGATGTTATGACAGAGGATACTTTAGTTCAGAAGAGAAGAGGTACAATCTACTGATTTTGGTGCACAGAGATACCTAATGAATCAAAGAGGCAAGAGTATGTAAGAAGATAAGAGGAATGTGCAGTTCCCAAAGTTAGCTCTGTGCAAAAATGGTGTGCCTCCTGTTTTCTGGGTGATTTTTTTTTTTTTTACCTCTTACTTGTATATAGTGATATTAAAACTAGCTGTGCTAAGTTAAACAACCAGAAAGCAATTTCAAAACAAATAATTTTTTTTTTCATATTAGTAATTAGTGAAGCTTCTTGACACAGAGCATTAAAGATGTCAGAAATGTTAATGAGTTCTGGAAACAGAGATTTGAGAAGGAAACGCCAGTCAAGAGATACTAAATACAAAGATGAGATAAAGCCTGCAGGTCAAGATCTCCCTCATGTGCAGAGTCCTGAAAACTGAGAGGGAAACTAGTGGCTGACAGAGCAGAAGTATTCCTCAATAATTTTCCCTAAATATTCAGGAATAGATGAACATTTGGCCATCCCCACTACCACTGTGCTTAGGCTAAGCTCTCTTTCTTTTTTGAACTTAAGAAGGAAAACAAATCCAAGCCATTTCTTGCTTTAATCTCTTATAATGAAACAAAATGCATTGTGGAACTGCACACTATTTTCTTTTTTTTTATAAAACAAATTCAACTATTCAGATAGTATCTAAAGATCTTATTTCCCTTGGTTAACACAGACACGTAGGTTTGCATACTGTCTACCCAAAAAAATTTATCATGTAAACAAGATAAAGCAAACAGCTGCAATAAATAGAAGTGACAGTAAGGCATACATCTTATAATACTGGACCATGATCTAAATGAGGGCACATTCCATGCCTGAATCATATACTATTTGTTTGGATTTTATCTCCCCAGAATAACTATCCACTGTGCTTGAGTTCCTACCAATGCAGAGTTTTGGCCAGGTTAAGTTTAGAAACACCATGGAAGAAAACTGAGGGAAATGTACGTGCTTGAGTTGGTATGTAGTTTGGCATCTCTGATGAGGGCAGAATTAAATTAACAATACTGGCAGCTGGAAGAGCCCTTTCTTCTTTTCTCTTCTGTGGGACTGACAATGAATATGGAAACCCAGTGTCTTTTCACTGGGTCAGTTTTTATATCTTTAGGCAGTGAATTAATTTACCAAGTCTATGGGAAAACTGCTAGAGAGTTAGCAATTTCTTCATAAAAGGGAATCCTCCTGACTTTTATTTATTTTATATGATATTGAGATATGTCTTATGAATATAGTTCTAGAAGTTGGTGATGTATTATACCAGCATCAATACTGAAACTTCTCCCTGTTTCAATCTAGACAATTAATCATAATAAAGTATCTCCCACTGCTGTACTTACCAACTCCTCCTACCAATACTAACTCTCTTCTTCTAATTTAGTCAAAACCCAAGACACTCAATTAGGAACTGGCATTATGGATTCGTCAGATAAGTTCTGTTAATTATCTTTTATGGACCAGTATGGTGGAACATTTATATTAAGTGCACTAAAAACATTTAATAGAATACTTAAATTATTCTAATAGTTTACTATGTTGTAAGTTCTTAGGAAATGCAATTAGAAAATTACATAGCATTGCATCTGTCATGGAAAAGAATCATAATTCTATTGTTATACCTTTTTCATATCAGATGCCATACTAATTACATAATTTGGCAATTACTCACTATAACAGATTATACACATCCAAGTCATATAATCTCTTTTGTGAGTTAGATAGCACTGAATAATTTTCAAATGACCCAATGGAAAATTAATGTACTGATTAGTATTACTAATCTTAATTATATATTTACATCTTTATTAAATGTCCAAGGATAACATTTCCCCAAATACCTAAGGGGATTAGGATATAGATCCAATAAAATATTAAAGAGGGCTTTAGATAGAAACATAGTCTCAGGGTAAATAAAATCAAACTGTATTCTAAGAGTTTCCCATTAAGTATCTGCCTAATCCTGGAGGTACTGCAATCTATAATTTTCTTCCTTTTTAACTTAAAAATTCCCTTTGGGTTCTACTACTGTACAAGCAAGGGCTGTGTATATCTAAAGCCTATAAATGGACTAGTTATTTTTCTTCCATCACCATACAAAGTTAAAAAAAGAAAAAAAAAGAACAAAACCAAAACAACTGGGCTCAGTGACTGCTTTCTTCTTGCCTCAGTGCTCTGTTTCTCTAAAGTGTCTTCAGAGATGGGTTCAATGTTAAAACAGCCTAGTTATATTTCTTAATTTTGGAAATTAAGAAATACACAGAACCTGTGGCTAGAGCCTCCCATTTTGCTCCTTCTCAAAGTTCCCACCACATGGGTTAGAGTTTATAGATGCAGTGACAATCCAACTGTCTGTTCATGAAATTGTGACATCAAGCAATTGAGGTGACCCAAAATCCTTATGTGCGTAGTTCTTAGAAAGGTAAATGGACTGAACTTGCCTCCAAAGGATATATCAATGGTTGGAACTTGTCTTGAGTGTGAGCTGGGACTCAAATTGCTCCATGAGTGTTTTTTCATGATTGGTGTGGGCAGTTTCCCTTTGACAAGGAGATCTGTGATCTGGGAGCGAGTTTCTCATCCTACAGGGAGACTGATGTTTAGGTCACTGTCTCCTGCTCTACAGTATGTTTTTGACTCAGAGTCTTGCACAGTGGAAATGTTTTACAATCAGTCTGATGAAATTTGTGTATACTTGCAGAGGTACACAGTGTTAAACAGTCAGTTATTCTGATTAATGCTGTTGCCACTAAGAAAATGCCAAAAGACACTACCTGGTGCCAGTCTTTAGCTGTTCAGTAGAAAGAAAACATAGCTTCTTTTCTGCTGCTTTAAGATTTTTACAAGGTGCATTGGTCATTACTAATGATATCACAATATTTTATTATAGGTTACTTATGAAATTGCTGGTGCGATAGAAAAAAATAAAGATTCCCTTTCACAAAATCTCGTGTTTGTAATGAAAAGTAAGTAAATGCTTTTGTGGTTGCTGTTGTTGTTAGAAATCAAGATATTATGACTTGACTTTAATTTTCATTTTAGTTTTAGGAGACATTTATATATATCTTTTATTCCCAGTAAAAAAAAAAAAAATCATCACCCTCATCTTTATAAAGTATGTATGGATTGTTTGAAATATGCTCTAATTTTAAAAGCTTTTATTATGCAGGAATATAAAGCATCTTCATCATGTGATGAGGTGAAGAACAAGAAGATGTAGTATGATAGATAAGAATGACTTACGAAAAACAATGGGTTTGAATTAAAGCAAAAATAAAACCCAGAAAATAGGGAAACAAAATTAGGCTCCCAAAATCATAGAGGCTGCAGTGGAATGTGCTGCTTGAATATGTACTGCTTGAGTACCTTTCTAAAAGCAGGAACTTGTGGGCGTTTTTATATTTTTCAGTGAATAGATATAAATGTCCATTGAAATGCAAAATTAAATGGCTTTCCCTGTGTATGTCGTATAATTATGCATAATAATAATAATGCAACCAATTTTATTAATTAATGATTCATAGTTAGATTAATAAAATACTTTCCCCTTTCTGTGAAAAAAAACACCCCAAACATTTTCCTCACAGAAATGTCAGTGTGCCAGTGTTATTTGTGTTCTCTCCAACCACTGCAGTGTCTTTCACTTAATAAATTATATACTAATATTTCTTTCCATAGAAGTAGAGGTCTTTTGAAGGTCATATTTGTTGTACAAATCAGCCCTGCTGTTACAATGTATTGAGGTTTAGCAGTTTTAGTGTAAAATTAGCCAAACTTCCTTGTAAAATAATTGATGCATGTTAAAGGAAAACACTATACATTCAGGATGAAGACAGAAATGGAATAAATTATCTTGAATATAAACCTATTGATTGTAGTTTTAGAGACTTTCCAATTCTCACTGCTTGGAATTTATATGATAATCTACCAGAGTCTAAGAAGGTATGGTAACTTGCAGTTTGTTCTACAAGAGAGAGCATTCTTCCATTCTCTCACATAGCTTCCTTTTCCACTTCCATTGCCTTTTTGTGTAATTAGCTATGCAACTGTTGAAAGGGAAGAATGGTGGATTGGATTGGACATGCTGAGAGTGAGTGTATATGCAACTGAGAAGTCATAATAACAATTATAAGTAATGGAAAAATTCTTCAGACAGACCATTTACAAACATGTAAATCTTTTAAGGGCTATGTTCCTCCTTTTTTAAGGACTTAGGTTTCAAACCTATTGATTGTCAGTGACATGTTTCCTTTAGGGCTAGTTTCCTAAGTTGTGTAGATGTATAAACTTTAATGCATGCTTCTTTTGATTTTCATTGAGTTTAGTTTCCTTAATCAAAACTTTTAACTATGAGAACATTAAAATAACTTCCATATCTGTGTAAGAATGTAGAACATACCTGATCTGACAAATAGAGACTACTGACATAGGATTTATCTGTTTTAATTTGAAAGACATAATTCTTATGCCTTTCCCAGTTCTACTAATTAGCATTTAATGTATGGAGATGGATGACCGCTGATAGTGCTGAAATAATTTATTTGCTTCACTGTCTTCCTCATAATTATATTGTTCTTGTTAAATAAAGAATTGTAATCTCCACAGAAAATGGGAAAAAAATCTATTGCATTTAAGCATCTAGTAATACACCTTTAAGCAGTTAATAAAGAAAAAAGATTTTTACTTGCTATGCTGAATTATTATTTCTGATGCTTATCCCATTCCTCTTTATGGTTTTTGTTTGTTTATTCATATGATGAGTGTGATCATAATGCCAGTTAGTTCTTAAAAAAAAAGTAACAGGAATTCAGGATAGTTAAGGATGTATCACACAACAGGTTCTTAACGCTTATTGATGACGTGACAGTACAAGCAACATGCAATTATCATGTTCATGTTAAAAAGCCTGTGACCATAATCTCATAAAGGATAATTTGACTGACATTAGAATAAAGTACTATCTGTCTTAAAAGTCAGATTTTTTTAACTTTAAAAACAGCTGTTGAAAGGGTTTGTTTGGTTTTTTTATTTTTTTTTTGTATGAATAATAATATGCATGTATGGCATTGCCTTTTTTCTGTAGATGTTTTTAAGTATGTTCTTGATGTAGAGAAATGTTGACACAAGTTTTGTCCTTACATTTTGGGGGTTGTTTTTAATCTCTTCTTATATTTTGTGTATATATAATTCTTTACTGCAATGAGTGTCTATAATTTATTTCTGTCAAGACCTTGATTGTTTCTGAATACTACATGTTAGGAAATTGTGATGCAGAGCTTATCTTTTACATTTACATCCATAGATGGATAAATTGGGAGTCTGTAATGGAAGTAAATTCAGAGGTGATGATCACATAAGTAATTAAGTTTAGACAGATCACAGCATGAAAAGTTTAGGTTTACGCCCTCTTTTTGTTCAGCACAGGACCTAAATTAAAATACCATTATTAACCTTAAATATTGAATGCTGTTTGATAACTAACATAACATAATAATTTATTAGTTCATCCATTTAAGTTTATTTATTTAATTCTCTCCTACTGTACATAATTTTACTTCCAAATAAAATTTATATAATTTTCCAACCAATTAGATAATTTTCTAACTACTTAACTATTTTATCTTCATACATTCCTTTCTTTTTTTTTTTATTTCCAGCTAGTGAAAATGTAGTCATCAATCAATTGTTCCAGTCCAAACTGACACAAACTGGATCACTTGTTCCTCCATATCATTCCCTCAAAATCAAAGGGTGTAAAGCGTCTTTGCTGAGTAAAAAACCATCTGTAGTCTATGCAAGTGGAGAAACAAAAAAATATACTGAGCTCAGCAAGGTAAGAATTTAGGACTCTTTCTGCTCTTTACTCCTTTAAGATTTTTCTGTTATTTTGTCATTTCTGAAATAATCCTGTTCTCTTCGTTATTATCCTTTGTAGTCATTAAGCTAAAATAATTTAGTATTTAATATTGACAGTAAAGCAGCAAATGTGAGAAAAGGTTCTAATTTACCAACACTAATAATTCTGAGTGGAGATTTTCTTTCTTGGATTCTTTCAGCAGAAGGTTGGACAAGATGATGAGGTCCCTTCATGCCTGAATCCTTCCATGATTGCATGGTTCCAGGGCTTAGCAGTGAATTTAATATTACTGATTTTTTGGCTGTATGAGAACTCTTCTGTGTTTTGACTTCTTTTCTGAGTTTATGGGGAATAGTTGAGTAAATTAAGACATAGGAAGTGCAAAAATAAAACTTTAATGTCTTTTTTGTATCAACCTGAGAAGATTTCTGGTTTGAAAAAGACAGTTTGTGTGGTTTTGTATGAAGATCAATCCTTTAAATTTTGGCAAACATTGTTATTTCAGATAGTCACTCATATATAAATTTTCCCAGTTAATTTGAAATCAAATCAAGCTCTCCCCATTTCTGAACTTGTCTCTTTTCCTGCTAGCTAAATCAGCCAAAAAAGTTTAAAAAACCCCCAAACAAATAACAACAAACTGCAACCAAAAACAAAAGAGGGGGGAGTAAGAGGGAAACTTTGGAGACTATATCAGAAAATTAATTGTTCATGTCACATGGAACATCTCTTTTTGAAAAGAAATAATGAGGTTTGGGGAGTCCATTCATGACAGAGCTTTGGAATTCCTCCTTCTAGAAAAGAAGCAAGCAGTTCTCACAATGCATCAGCTGCCTCGCCAGGCTTCTTGAATCTTACAACTCTATTTTTGGCTTACAGCTGCATAAAATTGATTCTGTCATGGGATTAAGGAGCCTGCTCTCATGTGTCATTGTGGAAGGCTTTATGCAAGTACATCCACAGAATAGCAATTGGACTTTGCTTATAGTCCCCCTGCTGATTTCAGCATAATTCCTGACTACTGTTCTTGTCAGTAATCTCAGTGGAAAAACTGAAGTTGAAGTGAGTGGTGTTGGTTTAATGCTATATTTAACAAACAGCTGAGGCATTACAAGGTACCTTAAGGTGCCTCTCCACTATAGTAACAGCTTCCTAGATGAAGTTTCCTAAGGATGTGAAGAAGATCCTTGTACCATACATGGGAGGAAGTATGAAAAGCATATCTAAGTTAGTAGCCCAATAAAGCCAGAGGAAAATACTGCACAATTGGGATCTTTGAAATTGTGCTGGTTTTGACCTGACCAGAATAGCTTTTAACCTGGACTTCCTCTCTTGAGAGATAGAAGACATTCAATTCCTTTGGGAAGCGTGATAACTTTCAGAAATTTCACATTCAGTGAGAATGCTCTAAACCTTTAGGTATTAGATGGAAGGTGGGAAGAACTTCATCCTTCATCTGCCCATGGAGACAAGGATGGCTTGGCTTCTCAAAGGTAGGCTTTGAGAAGAGCTGTGCAGGTGAGACAGAACACCACTTAGTTTGCAGACACTAAGTTGGCCTAATTTGAGCAAAGTAATGTGCTGCCATACAGGACTGAAGCAGAACTTTAGGTATCTGAACTGTTCCAGCAGCAAAAAAGAGACACTTGTTATTTTGGAATAGGCACCTAGTGCAGGAGCTGGAAGTAGGTAAGTACTCAAATTCTTTTGTGGATCAACCCTACCTCTGTCACTGTGCTGTTACAGTAATTCCTCCTCTTTTCAATATATCCTTGAAAATCCACTGTGATGGACTGGAATAATGCTGGATTTGTTATTTTATTGTTATTGTAATTGGAAATGTAATGTAATGTTATCAGCTTAGAAATAGAATTATTATGTTACATGTTATATGCATCTTTATCCTGAGGGTGAAGGCAACAAAGAGAAGAGAAAAAATTAAAAGGGGAGGGGGAGAAGGAGGGACATTAAGGCAAAAATTATCAACAAGCCTGACATTCCTTTTATGTCTGAAATTTGAGCTACAACAAACATCATACTGTGGGCAATGAGAAACATATAATGGAAAATTGTCATGTTGCTGTGTATGGGCAGTCATCTACACTCCATTGTATCCAGGGAAGGAAGTGGACACTTCAGAAGTCAAATAGGATTTTGTTGTGATTCCTCTCCCCTTTTCACTGCAATCCTAACTAATTGCTAGGTTATATAATTATGAATGTCTCTGTGTATGGCCATGTGTCTACCTGTTTACCTTTCCATAAATGACTCCTTGATTTTGAGCACTCTGTCGCAAGTTAGGGTAGTCTACCTCTTTAAACTAACAGCTCTAGCATGGTGGAATCCAAGAGAACAGTGCATCCATCCTAAGACAGACATGAACCAATCTACTAGCTGGCCAGAATTTTGGAGCATATAAGGAGTCATAGGAATTTGGGGATGCCAGCTAAAGTCTCTGTGATTTATGAAGACCATGTTGCCTTTTCAAATAAAATATATCTTCACTGATATTCTCACAGCATCTTGCTCTCATCAGCTCTTGCTCCCTTGCATTTCTGTCATCATTTCCTGGTGCATATTTTGGTCAAGTTCTCTTGCCCTCGCTTACTTTTGAAGAGTCAAGTGTGTTTCAGAGTTCATACAACAGAAGTCTAGAGATTTTTTAGGAGGAGGTTTTAGCTTCTTAACAGAGATTACGATTTTTTTTTTCTGTAGAGTAGAGGTACAAGATTTTCCAATATAAAGCTGTATATTAGAAGTTAATAGAGAACTACCATTTTGGTGATACAGCCTTTTTCCATAGTACATATCTGAAAATTGAAGATGTCCAAGTTTGGAGAGTTTAAATTAAACTAATTTTTTGTCTTTGCCTTGTTTCCCTTGTTTTCTCTCCTTCATTCCGAAGCAAATATTTCTTTCCCATGCAAAGAAGTGTGTAACACAGGACAGCAGGCAGGAACTTCAGCATCTAAAGCATTGCTCCTGGCTCTCCCACTAACTCAGAAAACAGTCTTGGATTAGCGACTTTATCTGTTGAGAGGAAGCATATCTGTTAGGTGGAGAAAATTCTATTTTAGTTATATTCCTCACTTATTTTGTGAACTTTTAACTGAGACATATCATTGGCATGCTAGGGGTTCTTTTTATAAGAAGACCTGGAACAAGAAGATCTCTTCTACTTTTTAGTTTTGAAGTTGGGGATGAATTTGTCTTTAAAATCTTATTGCATCCTAGTAAATGACATTTGAAATGAAAAAGACCTCCAAGGTTTAGCATGGTGAGTAGAGAATTGCTGGCACTGCAATATTTTTAATGGCACTTGGCTTGAGCTGGCCAAGCTGAGAAAATGTACACTCTTTTGATAAAACTGGAAAAAGGAGTAGACCAGAACATGCTGACTTGATAGAAAGGGATTTTTATGGGGTAAGTGGACTGAAAAAGGCAGTGGAAAAGTCAGAGGTGAAAAGACTGTCATTGATAAGGAGGCTTAAATCTAAGAATTTTGCCAAATCCTGGAATGCAATAATTTTGCCAACCGTTCCATAGAAAGCTTAACAAAAACCTCTAAATTCCGGGATAACTTTTAGGATGATTATCTCCATTTTAGTCTCAAAGATAGGAAGTAGATCAGTGAAAAATAAATTTGTTCTTGACTCCCAATTCTGATGTATAGGATAATACTGGTTCTAATAAGATAGGAAGTTATTGACCATTTGTGTCTGTAATGGGTGAAAATGTGTTAAGAAAGAAAAGAAAAATAAAAGGTTAACTGCATTCACATGTGCGAGAAGAAATGAGAAGAGTGTTTTAAAATATTACTGGTTTTCAGTCAAGATTTTTTTATAAGGTCTGTACTCTTCTCTTTACTCACTTAAACATCTGCCAAAGACATGAGGCCCTTTTTTTGGATAACTACAGAATTATGCTACTTATAGGTAGACTGTATGGGATACTAACTGCACAAATCCTGCTTCTGCAACACAATTCCAGGTCATATTGTTTTGCCCAGTATTTTGTTAAAGATATTTTATCTTTCCAGTGGTATACAGCCGCTTTTGAAATCGAAACTCTCTTACCAGTCATGGCTCTGCAGATACCTGAGGATATTTATCCACTTTCTCATTTCTTTCTGAAACTCAGATATTGTTTATGCCATAGTGTTTGTATAAATAAATGTTTGCCTTTGTTAGTAAATTGTGCAACAGTGAGAATTAATGTGGGCTGCCCACCTTGAGATGAAAGTATTGTGTGTGTGCTTTTTCTCTCCACAGCTGTTGAAAAAGAAAGGAACATCCTCATTTCTTCAGAGACTGGAACGAGGGGGCCCAACTACTGTGGCAGTACAACTCAGGGTCAGTGAACATCTTATGGACAGAAATTCACAAAGAAATCCTGAGACGTTTTAAAGGAAGGATTAGCCTTTAATATTATGGTGGAAGAAAGAAAAATTATATGTTTGGGAAAGCCACTTGCATGGCCAGGTCAACTCTTTTGAGAAAACTATGTGAAAAAGTTAGGAAGAAAATACATGTTGAGCTTGTGCTGCACAGGAATAGTTTATAATTGGTTTGTTTGGTTTATTTTTCCCCACAGAAATCACTTGCAGATATTATTGGGAAGCTGCAGAATTGCACACCACATTCTGTTCACTGTATAAAGCCTAATAACTCCAAGTTGCCAGATACTTTTGACAATTTTTACGTGTCAGCCCAACTGCAGTATATTGGTGTCCTAGACATGGTCAAAATCATACGACATGGGTATCCAGTACGTCTCTCTTTCACAGACTTCTTGTCGAGGTAAATTCTCTCAAGTTTCATAAAACCTTTTTTCTTTCCTTCTGTCATGTTCTGGTGGTGCTTGCAATGTTGTTATCCTGATAAGTCTTTCAGACTTCAGAGAAAATCATGTCTGCCAGCAAGGGATATGGAGTTGTTATGTTTAAACTAAAGTAATCATGAACTTTTTAGAAATATATTTATAAAGATCATCAGGAAATGTATTACAGTTTAAAAATGAGATGTCATAAAAGAACTATATTTTTTATAATTCATGCTTGTTATATGACTTACAAAATACAAAATATTGCATATTGTCTGCAGGTAATTAAAAAGCATAAGGAGAAATAGTCTAATTTTTCAGGCTTCTAGGTGTAGGTATCATGGGTTCATTATTTGTATTTTGTAAGGTAGGATTTGTTCATGCATGGTGAGGAGTTACTAATGCTCGTACCCCAGCTCCATTTTTATTATTGTTGTTGGAACTCAGTGAAATACTGAATTGATATGAAAAGACAAAAAGATACATGCCACTGCTTCTGTCTGAAGGCAAACTTTTTTCCCATCCTCAATTCAGTAGTGGGCTTTTAGCTCACTTACATTCTCAAATGTTTCAGGAAAGAAAAAGGACTGTCTTGTCCAAGAGAAGTTTTTTTAGCAGACTCATGCACTCAGCGTAAGTTTCTTTCTCTCTGCATGTTCTACTTCTTGACTGATATATCAAGCAGTCATGATCTGGGCTTTGTATAGTTTTATGGGAATATCAGCTCCTTAGACACAAATTTCGGTTGCCTTCTTGGAAAGAGTTGTAGATGTTGAATATTTTTTTCTCTGTAAACATTCAAAAAGTTCAGGAATATATGAGTTTGTAATCCCACCTGTTTTAGAAGTAAGCCATTTCTGTCCTACCACAATATTCATCCTCCAGCATGAATTGAAAAGTGCAGGGTGGTTGAGGAGAAGGTGCAGATAATGGGAGATTTGCAAAAGAAGGCTGCTTTTATGTTCAGAATTGATAGGGGAAATCTCTATATAACCTATATAGGCTATATAGTCTATATGGGCAATTTCTGTATTATTAAATTGGATTTTCAAGGGACTCCTTCATGAGGACATAGCCACAACCTGTTCTACTGTTAGGTCCTTACAGTGGTTCCTGGCAGAAATTTGGTCCTCACCACCCAGCTTTTTTCACTGCAATTCCCAGATACAGGTTGGGATTTAGCACAGGCTTGGGATCATTCCTGGTGGGCAGTATGGAGGTACCTGCTCTCTTCTGGAGAGTAAATGAAAATAACCATGTGTACAAAACTACTTTCATCCAGTTGGTTTCAGTGCCAGTGAATGGTACCATGTGTGTTCACTTTTAACAGTATAGACATGAGTCTGGCATTTTTTCTTCTTTTTGGAGAAATTTTATTTAAAAATATCACTAAAAGAACCAACTATATAATTTCAGAAACATTTATGCTATTATTTTAAAGTGTTCTAGTTTTGTTATTATGCATCTCTACAGCTTTTACTCCACAATAAATTATCTTTACAGGTTCTTGCCATTTTACATATTTGCACCAGGTCATAATAATTTAATTGTTATACATACAGTGATGGGGCTAGCATACTGTCATGAAAGTGAAATTAATTTTATAATATTCCCTGGGAATATATGTAGAACCTACTTATAAGTTAGCAATAATCACTCTGTATTCACCTTTCAACACTACAGATTTTTAAATTTGTGTGCAAATAGAAACACGGAGCTCTTAGCCCAACTGTATTGGAAAAGACCATCAGCATTGTAAGGCTTTTTACAGTATCCATTCCTGTCACATAGGCCAAAATTTACCTTGCTTTGTACAGAAGAACATGTGAATTCTTCACTTTACTCGCCTTACCAGCTAACTATCATATTCATATTCCATGTATTTGGATAATTCTGTTTCAAATAGTCTATAGAGTGTGACTATTTGTTCTGCTATTGGCTGAAAAGTACAGAATTTCTAAGCAGAAAAGATATTATTAGATTTTAGTTCAAAAGTACTATCATTTCCTAATACTGGGTTGTTTGTTTTTTTTTTCAGCCAATAGTCCATAGGTAAGAAAGAAATACTGAATTCAGAGATTATGAGTTACCTTTTCAAAAAGTTTTTTTAAAAACTCTCACTTCTGCTGCATCTCTATATTGCCTGGGTAACTGGACAGGATATTTTTGGAAACCAGATGATTAGTTTTGGTTATTTTTTTGTTAACTGGATTAGTTCTTTTGGCTGCTAAGCCAAACTCTGGTCTTGTCTTACTATTCATTAATTGGAATGAGAAATTATTTTTTAGATTTTCATATAGGCTTTTAGACCTGAAGTTGATAGAGGTTTTTCACCTTTCACCTTTTATTTCCTTTGCTGTCAAACTGGTATTTCTAGTATTCTAAAGAGAATTTGTGGTTCAGATCCCAACTTGAATTCCAAAAAGTGAACTGCTATCCTCCCCCACTCTCCCTGCAGTTTTTGTGCATATACCTTTAGAGTCTTCCTTATCATGAATGTGGTCAGAGTTAAAAATATTAATGAATTAAAAATTACCCCCTTTTTTTTTCTGGCTAATAAAAGACAGAATGTTTGAATCAGGGGCCTTTGTGGCAAAGGGATAGAATATTGGAAAACCTGGATATTATATCAGCAATCAGACAGTCCCATTTCTTTCTTAATTGGATGAATTTGAATAAATTTCTACTGATATCTCATGAGGGATTATTATGACTTGTCTCTAACATATTTATGACTTGCATTTGAACTCCTACCATGCTGAAAGAAAGACGTGAGCTGAGGAAAGGTCATATTTTGCAAGAGCACATTTTCCTGGGCTACAAAGCTTAATCATTATTTCTGTTGCTATTCTTTTGGATTTAGTGGTTCTGCTTCTGTTTTATCAAAGATGAAAGCTGTGAATTGAACCTTTCAGTCACTGAAGTTGGTTGATCACAGGAGAAATCCTGTAGAAGTTCTTGTTCTTAAGTGGAAGCTGTGACACTTACTCGATATGAATATGTCATAAAAATGGGAATTAATAAGGTCAGATGCTATTAAATCCTGTAAAAACAGGTAGCACCAATATAATTAAGAAATTATATATGTGATTTCAACCTATTTGCCAACTCCAACTGGAGTGTTTCTGCTGAATTTGCCTGCAGTGTTGGCTCGATTTCTAAAGCTCTTTGAGTAGAGAGACAGAGATCAGTTCTTGTGTTATCTTAAAAATAGAAAGCTATGAATAACATGCATTTTAGACTCCTGGGAAAGTTTACCCCTATATTTTCATTAGTATCTTCAGAATTGTTCTCAGTGGACTAGATTTTTAAATTCTAGCAGCAGCATAAACAATTTTTTAAAGTCTGTGAAATTTCCAGTTTGCAGCCAAAATTGTACACACAGGTAAAGTATCCTCAAATATCCTTTTTCTTGGAAGAAAGAAAGCAGTGAGATAGCCATTGAATTAAGAACTGCCTGCAGATGGCTATTTCTTTCCAGTATTTAGTTTTGATATCTTATTTAAAATGAGGATAACTCCACACAAGATATACAAAAGCAGTTTTGTGTGAACATAGTAATTTATTATGTTTTTGGTACTTGGTCTATGGCAAAAAAGTTAAGAGTCTGTGCTCTGTTACCAGTGCAGAACAACAGGACTCAGAAACTCTGTACAAGCTTAATACCTAGAACCTAATCTTTTTACATCAATTAATAAAATGGATCCTGTCTGACTTTTGTGTCATTCGCCTCACATCGAGCTCAAGGAAGACATGTAAAAGCCATTCTGAATATAAATTTTAAAAAATAATCATAGTGATATATAGTGATAAGGACCCATTTAGAGTAATGAGGTGAGCTCAGTGAAGTACAAGAATACAGCTGTTCAGGCATGTTCAGGTAAAATGAGGCAATAAGATGCTCTGTAAAGTTCTCACTCTGAAAAGTTTTATTTTGGTACTATTCTCCTCTGCACACACTCCTCTAACATTAGTGTTCTGTAAATTGAATTAGAAATTTAAATAATTTTTCCTCTCTTTTCTTTAATGTCATTCACCAAGTTGCTGCTGTATACCCAGTTCCTTTCTCTGTCTGTATTTCAATTTCCTTGGTTAAGGAAAACTTTATGAACTTAGAGAGTGAGGTTCACATGTCCACTGTTTCTTGTGTCTGGGACACTGCTTAGCAATGGAGACTGCAAGGTTCTTGCACGGGTCCTTAGATGGGTTATCTGTGTTAGCCTTCCCTGACAGGTAGGAAACACTCAGAGATGTTGAAGCTCAGGACAACCTCTTTGTATTGTATGAACTGATAAGCAAATGGAGCCTTTCACTTAGCTGACGAAAATTGCAGGATTTATATAACAAAAATTATGTTGTTCAGAAAGCCCAAATAGTCTTCTACTGTGCAGTTCCTTGCATTTATTTTTGAACTTTTATGAGTGTTTCTTGGAATTTTATTAGTCTCTCAGATTTCTAGACTGTCTTTCTTGACTTTATCTCTGTTAACTCACCCTTGTGGTTTCCACCATGGAGATCCCATCTCACCTTCTGTTGCTGCTCAAGGAACATCATAGAAAATTTCATAGTGTGAAGAAGAACATAAAGGAAGTATGTAGAGACATTTCTTACAGTATTGTTGCAAGAGATAAGTCACTAGAATGTTATGGTTTACTATTTCTAATAATCTTTTAAAATGGCTTTACCTATGTATTTGATGTCATGAAACAGATTATAAGTAGTTACTTGTGCTATTAAGACAGTGTCAGGTGCTGGCTTGGAGGGACAATGTAAGACTCCTCCTCATCATCATCCTCCTCCTGTTCTTCTTTCCTTTCTTCCCCTTCTTCTCCCTTCTTTCATTAGCTAATCTTACTCTCGTATATGAATCAGATGTGTTAAAATATGAAAGTTACCACACATAAGCTTTACTAAAAATAAAGAAATAAGGAGTTAACATTCTGATGAATTTTTGTTTTAAAGTAACTTCAAAAGATGG